CAGGGTGATTCGTTTCTTTTTTGCGGACTGTACATTTACATTGAAAACATCATCCGTAGGGTTGCTAATGGCAAACATTTATAAGGTCACGTGGTAAATGTTTCCATTCATCCCTTGGAAAGCAAACTTTATAAGATGAAGATGGTTGAAAGGAACTAAATTAGACATACGGAAACGTTTGGAGTTTCCTCACGCGATGCTGATTGGTGGAATTTTTGTTTACATTGAGTATTTCTAAAAGGGTCATAAATGGATTCTGCGAAGTATTGAAATCATTTTCATTCGTAAAAAGTCATAAGTCCATATAGGTTTAAACTGTTCAGCTTCTATTTTGAGAAAAACATCGATTATGTGCCGAGTGTTGTGATTGTTATGTGTGCTAATGGTTTTAGGAGTTTTATAGCTAAAAAATCATTTAAGTTCGAACCTTTAGTAACCAGCAGTTTCGAGCGTAAATTACGAAATTTTCGTTTTCATTTCCAGAATAATAATAAATCATTTTGGACATGAATTAAATGTATTATAATAGTAAGAATCTTTTTGAAGTTGCTATTATTTTTCATTTACTCTTTAAAAAATTCGTCGTGTTTAGAACAGGTGTGAATAAAAAATATTGAGATAGGCATGAGTGATGTCCGTGATTTCATGGTCCATATTTTTCTACTAACTTGTAGCAGTTGCATATTGACTCAATGAACTTAGTGGAAAACTGCATTTTAAAAGACAAATTATATTTAAAAGTAAGTAGTAATATATAAATAAAAATATGTATGGAATTATTAAAAACAGAAATATATATATTTTCAAATGTGGGATTTTGGTTCATAATTTGGTAATATATACGTGGAATTGCAAATTGATTGTATTTTATAAATACAGAAGAGTAAAATAATAAAATACAGTTTTGTTATTTTAATTGTTCAACAATTTTATGTAGGAAACTGGATACACTCAATAATTTTTTTTTTCCCTCGCTAACCCCATTTGAAGTTCACTTGTGTTACAGTCATTTTAAATAACAGAAAACATGTATTTCTTTAATGAAAAAAGCCCTCAGATCTATATCAAATGCTATTCTCCATGTAACAGTTTTGTTACTGTTCTGTTGCAAATTTCATAAAAATATAAGACTGTATACACACAAAGATATTTAATGCTTAAGGTGAATATTCATTAAAAAGATACAATAATAAGCACAATGAATTTACTCCCTTATAAAACATATATCCTATTTCACTTCATGATACCTTTTAATTTAACCTATCTTTAATCTTCGTTTTAGAAGATACACAACAATAATCTATGCATTTAATTTTAAAATTGACTTACTCAGCCATTTTAAATCTCCTCACATTTAGGAAATATATTTCCAAATGCATAATGTGGCAAAATCAACATTCTCAGGCTCTAGTAAAAACTAAACATTTCTATCAAAAAATGATTGTCTTGCACCCAGCATACTAAGATTTTTTGCACCATTTAAAAATTAAAACATCCAGGCCTTCAAAGTTAATATGTAAATTTATTACTACTCAAAATAGCTTGACAATCCTGTAACATTAAAAAAACAAAAACAATCAGTGTAGTGAATTCCAAGCAAATTTATTCTTTCAATCAAACTTAAAGTTTGAAAAAAAAAGAAAAAAGGTAGGTGTTTTGTCGAAACCTTTCCTTTCACTCACTCTCCAAATCTTTACATCACATTTATCTGCATGAAAACAAATGCAGCAAAAATCCTATTGACAGTTATCGATGCTGTTGGTGGAAAAAAAAAAAAAAAACTTGAAAAAAAAGTTACAGCACATAATGAATCAGTTTCTTGTTTAGAAAAGCTATGAGGAGTAAATATAGTGGATCTCTCCTCGGTTTTGACATGATTTTTAGCACAGTGACTTTTTATAAAAATCTTCATTCTGTTTTAAGTATTTATAAGTTTCCTTTTAATTAAAATTATTATAACAATCTATGTACATAAACAATAAAGACCAGTACTGTGAGGTTTCTTATCTATCTTTCTGAATAAATTTTTGTGTTGGTATCAGCTCAAAAAATCACCTGATTTTAGTGAGATCCGAGTGAAGGCACAGGAGAAGCTAAAATCATGTTTAAATGTACAGTCATGGTTCATTCTAGGTGGAGATTGCAGAGCTGGGCACTCTGTTTGCCCTTTGAATAAAAAATTATCGCTCCATGTGCTCTATGAATCTGAATATGTGCCCCAACATATTAAAGAGAGAAGGGTATATTTGCACAGATTTTTTGGTAAATTTATGTGGTTTTCTGATCATTTTTCAGCAGAAATAAATCTTGTTTCGGCCATAATTTTTCAACCGTTTTCCTATGGTTTTTCAAATTCTGATATATAACCGGTGCATAACCTTTTTGAGTGAAAGGCCACATACGCAGCAGATTGATCAACCGAGGGCTGTATGCCAAAGTATTTCGACTGACATATTGACAGTAATTGTAGGTAGTAATTGTTATATAAACATCATTGTTTTAGACAATTCTTTTTTCAGTTAACCTTGTAATATGTTGGCATAAAATTAAATACTTCTAATTGTTTAAAATTAGAAACTGCAAAACTGATTACTTAGAAAATAAAACAGAATCTATTTATCAGAATAAATTTATCAGAAAAAAATTCCAATGAAATGAAGAAAAAAAAGGCAGAATTCATGTGTTTTTTATCACATTATATAATACAAAAATAGGATTCAACATTTAGTAAGGAATATACTTCAACTTTAAAACATTTATTTTAAATAAATTATAAGAGGCAGGGGTTGAGAGAAGAAGGAAAAAGAAAGAAAGAAAACTTTATTTTGAGCGAACCATTTTCCTTAATAATTAGAAACTAACAAAATATTTGTTTACAACTCTTTATGATCAATACTTTTTTTTAACATAACACTATTTACAATTAACACACATATATTAACAATTAATTAAAATTTACATTAGTTTATGATACTTATCTTAATTCCATTTTTACAGTTGAAATTTAATGATATACGAATCATTTCCCGGCATATGATCATAAATGATATACAATGGTCTACATAGGCAGAAAATGGTTTAAAAAATTTCTTAATGGTTATTCTACACATTGCAAAATTTTCAAATACAGTAGGGAACCGATTATCCGGAACGATCGGGACCATCGCTATTCCGAATAACTGATTTTTCTGGTTTTCTGAATCGCTACTAAAAGCCGTTTTTTTATTGTTAAATCCAACTAAAAAAAAAAATAATATCTTTGGAAATAATCTTAAAAAGAAGAAAAAATTATGAAGTAAGACACTAATGATTATTTCCAAGCTGATGGTAAGGTAAACATCTTTCAAAAAAGAAAGAAAAATCCTAAAATCTCATGAGGAAAAAAAAAATTAAAAAAAAAAAAAAAAAGTCTGAAAAATTTATTGAATTTCGTTCCGGATTTTTGGTTTTCCGGTTTTCTGATTTCCAGATAACGGGTTCTGTACTGTATTGTGATAGTTTTATCTACTTGATCATGTGATATCTTTTTTGGGCTATTAAATGAAAATCTAATGATTTTGTTTAAAGGCTGCTCCTTAATTTTGAACATGCTAAACTCATTTTGGAAAACAGTCTTTCAACATGAGCTGCTGTTGTGGGCAGCATTAAAATTAGGGCCAAATTGTGGTCTTTCTTTCCAGATTTTTAAATCACATAAATATGAATACTTATGTGTTATTTTTAAATCTCTTGAATACAAATTGCTATGTGTGATTTTTAAATTGCTTGAATAATAAACGCGATGCTAGGTTTTTAATGTGCGGGAATACGAATCAAGATGTCTGATTTTTAAATTGTGAGAATGCTTACAACATATAATTTTTAAAATGCGCGAATATTGACCGTGATATGTGGTTTTTATATCTCGTGAATATGAATCGCGGTGTATGATTTTTAAATTGCGAGAAGAGTACCAGTGTGTGATTTTCTTAGATGACAATTTGTGACTTTAAATCTCATGAATACGAATTGTGATGGATGATTTTTAATTCTCATTAATGTTAATGGATGTGCAAATTTTAGACCCCGTGAATACAAATTACGATGTGTGACTTATAAATTGCGAGAAGAATTGGTGGAAGGAATGAATGTTTTACTTTCTCCTGATGGTCAGAAAAAATCGTTTTTCTGATAAGCTGCCATCAATCAAACTCAAAAGAGAGGCATGCTGATTTCGTTTTCTCTTTGATTTAGGAGGGGGTGGGGAGAATGCATTGCACATGCATTTCAGTGAACAGATGATGAAAGAGAAATGAAAACGAAAAATATATTTATCTACGATTATTTTATGAAGTAGATTGCAGTTTTCTTTTTTTTGATTCTACTACGTTTTAGTTTTTTTTCCTATTCTCTCACACGGTAACTTTCATACCTAATAAATTAATTCTTTTTATTCATTAATTTTATCATTAGGTCTTTTTTTAAAAAAAAATTCCTTTGATCTTATTGATCTTGCCTTGTTCCGGGTTTTAATATTTATGTTAGTGCCTTTTTTAACTATCATTTCAGTTCGATAATTTTCAAGTGTTATTCTTATTTAGATTAATAAGTTTTCCTTTTATTTTATCGTTTCCCCCCTCTGTATAATTAGGTATGAAATATATTTTGTTTTTTAATCGTTGGTTTTGTTTATACGGTGTAACGTCCCATTTCCGGACGTCCCTTTTCCGGAGTGGTCGATTTCCCGGACACTTTTTAACAATCAAAATAAACAAACATTTCTTCAGCTTCCTCTCTCTCTCTCTCAAAAAAAAGAGAGATCTTTTGACAGGTTTTTTCCTTTCTTAGCTTTTAGTGATTTATGCATTGAACTCATAAATCAACCTAAAGGGGAACAGAAGATCTACCAAGACTGTACCGTTAGTGACGCTCCTCCTCTGGAACGAAGGAAAGTAGGGGGGGGGGGAGATAGGGAAAGAAATGCTGTGAAAAAGGGTAAACACAGAAAAATGTTGAAGTGGAGGGGGAATCCCCTTTAGTCACACAAGAAAAAATAAAAACCCAATCAGCATGCCACGCCTTTATGCTTGATTGATAGCCAATGAAGATAAGAATTTGTCACTGCCCCGCCCTTAACTTGAATGACAAGTAAGGAGGAAATAAATTTTCTTCTCCACCTACCCACTTTAATGAATGACGGAAATTTCCCCTTCTTGCTTGAATCGTTGTAGTTCAAAATGGCAGAAAGAGCAATTAATATTTTCGTAACTAGCAATTTTTTCGTTTTCTATATTTATTTTTATAATAGCAATAATTATTTTTTTTTCTAATATTTTGTTTTTCATAGATTAGATACCATTCTAATACTAAAACATTATTGCCCGAAAAATAAAGTTTTTTTATTTTTTGCTTCTTAGATTCAGATCATTTTAAGCGTTGTTTACGTTGAGGGCCTATTATACGGAAAAATCTAATATCCGGACTTCGGGAAGTCCCGCCGATTCTGGATACGCGACTTTCCACTGTATTTGCTAATTTAGGAATTTTAATTATTTTAAACGAACAAATGGGAGAATCTTGTATTTTTTAAACTTGTATTTCTTGTCTGAACTTTCAAATTTTTTTTATTCTTTTAAATGTTATTTTTCTAGTATTTTTTTCTTTTTAAATTAAAGCAAGCTTTTCTTTTTTCTCATACTTAAAGATGTGTTACACTTTTTCCTTGTAATTTGGGTTCGATAAAACATCGATTAATGACACTTTTTGGTCGATCCAGAAAACCAGGAAATTCAGACATCCGGGATAGCGATGGTCCCGAGCATCCCGGATAATTGGTTCTCTACTGTACTATGAAACTGTCGATGGGAGCTTAATTGAACCTAGGGGCTTGTTTGGTATTTTACGATATGTATTTGCTTATGTACTGTATGTTTATCTTCAATTTTTTTTCTTCATATTAATATTCAATATTTTTTTAGCTGTCTATGGTTACTTTCTATATGTTGTGGTATTGGAGCTGCCATGGAAAGTGATGCATTTTCTGAAAGTTCTTTCAGTAACGGAGAGTCTTGTGAAAGTGACGAAAATGGCGAAATATTTGAAACATGCTCCTTCAATGATAGTGTTTTACAATTACCGGAATTTTTCTGTGATGAGGTAGATGTACTTTTTTATAAATATGAATTCTCTTATTATTTATATTATTACATACTTCTTAAATTCTAAATTAATTTTGTTGAGCATTTACTGATTTAAGGTTTTAAAATTAAATAAGTGGCCTCTCAATCATGTGAAATCCTTTAAAAACTAGATGGACTTTCTTGTTCATTGGAGGAGTGCCAAATGGTATTAAGATTCCTATTTAAATTTCTTTAGGGAGCAGTTTTCCACACAGTCATATGGCATTTGCTAAAGTGTTATGTATACCATTGGTTAATTTATATAATTATTATTCATTCATTTTTTCTGTTGAATAGTTCCAATTTAAAGTTGATATGATTTTTCTGCTGAAGCCTGTTCTAGAAAGAGTTGCTGTCAATGTACAGTACACAAAGTAAGAAACAAGAAACCTGTATAACTTTTAATTCAATTCTTCGATTTTCATATTTAAACTACCAAATCAAAGGGGGAAAAATACTTTCTCTGAATAAATATACCTTTTCTTATGATGAATCTAGATTCTATAATGATGACGCCTTTATCTGCAAAATAATGTCCCAAATATTGAGGAGAGCAACAATGTTAATTTTACTTTTCGTGTATTTTACCATATACTTGGAATTGTGAAGGTAAATCAAAGAGCTTTTGCTTTGACTTGTTCTTTGAAAAATAATTTTTCACAAAAAATTATTTGAGTGAATCTTTATTTTTTAAAAAAATTTTTTTTTTTGTATTGCTTTCTTAAAGGTACCTAAATTCATTCATCATATAAAACCATTCGATTATAAATGACAAAATTCAAAATTTGACTGAAAACAGTTGGTTAATGTCTGATCAATAATGCTTTAATACCATAATTTCACAGAGATACGCTGCCCCGGGATATACGCAGCACTCGTCAAATTTGACTGAAAGGGATAAGTTTTTCACCTGAAAGGCCACATCATCGGATATGCCGCACAAAATTCGACTTCGTGATCGATCATGTAGTTAGTGCATATGTTTCAAATAACAAATTTTATACAAAATAAATAATTGGATGTTTAAAAATCATAAAAATAATTATAAAATATACAATAAATTAATATATGTGTTATTACTTAAAATCAGAAATTAAGTATTTCGATAACTTTAGAACTTATTCAAATGTACGCAAAATTGTGCCGTCGTGTACAATTATGCGCAATTCAAATGCATCGCAAATGCATTACGTTAATAAATACCATTTAAAAATACTCAAATTTTATGTAAACCAAATAGTTAAGAACCTAAATATAATTAAAATACAATAAATTGATGAAAATATTCTTACTAGGCACAAAATTCTATCATATAGAACAATTGTGATTGCATCGTGTCCCTTTGTCATAATTTGATTTGAAATACCTAAATATTATATAATCAAATGATTAAACAGCTAAATATCCTTACAATAATCCAAAAAAATATATATATTTATACTAATTAAATATAGTAAAAATGAATCTTGTTTTGCTCAAAATTGTACAATGCAAAACAATCACGAATGCATCCCATTTCTTTTTTTTAATTTTAAATTTCTCAAATTTTAACCTATCAATGGATAAACAGTTAAGAACCTTTAAAATAATTTTAAAAGATAAGTGTAAAAATAAGCAAATAATTTCGTTTTGCGCAAAATTAAAGCATAAAATGATCACAAATGCATTATTTCTTTTACTGTTAATTTATAATATCCCACTTATAAATCAAATGATTAAACAGCTAAAAAATTTTTAAATATATGTTAAATATAGAATAAATAAATCAGTTCATGCATTCCTCTTTTATCCACGAGCTCATCATGTTGCATCATTTTTCTTGAGCATCACTAAATTGCAAAATTGTATATCTCCGAAAGTAAAATTAATAAAGATGACCTTCAGCTGAAAGTAGGGAGAAACTTGACATTCAAGATGGATCATTTAAGCATTTCTTCCCTTCATTCGTTTTAGAGAATGACTTGCATATTTTTCTTTCACTTTTTTTTTCACACCTGCAGCAGAAGAAAGGAGGAGAGGGAATCGTACTTCCTTTGATCCTTGTAAGAGACTTTTTGCAGGGTAATTGTGGGAGGAAAATTTGTCAACAGCTTCTTTGGTTGAAGAGGAGAACATCTGTTGCACTATTGTTACATTCTCACAAACTGTATTTCACCTACATTGTTAATTCTTTAAATTATTATTGATCGTAAATTATAAAAATAGATCGCAACAAAAGATGAAAAGTAATAATGAAAGTTTGGAGAATCAATTCAACAAAATAGAATTTTCTTGCTCAAGTAATAAAAATAAAAAAAAATTAAAATAACACCGGTTAGGCTACCCTTCTAAATACGCCACACACTCCAAAATTTAATGTTTCAATTTCAGTGTTTTCATTACAGAAAAAAAAAATGGGAGCGAATTTCTCACCCTTTCTCAAAAACAGGGTGAGATTTCAAAAAGTTAAGTGAGATTTCTAAAAATTAATAAAACACGCATAGACTTGGAAAAAAATTATTTCTTTAATTATAATACATTTTTAACATCTTCTAATTGAATATTTTTGCTGCATCATCATATGGAAAATGTTCTATATCTACTTTTTCAACAGCTATTATATTTATTTGGATGAAAAATATCCGTATTTGTTTCGTTTTGACCGTTTCTACTGACATTTGTTTCATTTTCATTTTTCCGCTACGGAGTAGAAGATGTCGCCTGAACAAGGTATTTGTTCATCTTACATTCATGCACAAAAAATGTAAACGTCTTACATGAAGAAACCTTACCTACGGTGAACACGTGGTTGCAGAGAAATGTGCTCTGAATGGGGTTCCATGGTTCGGTGAGGGGGGGTGTTCTGCTGTTCGCGCCGGTTCTGAACAATACTGGTAAATAGGAAAGCTAGATAACAAGGACCAATGTTCAAAATAATGAAAGGTCAAGGAAGAACAGATGAAACGGATTTTATTCTAAATGGCAAAAGACGAAATTTTTTCCAAAACTCGCGCATTTTGAAATTGATTAATAGAGTGTGCGAACTTCTCGCGTTTATCATTTTGTTATTGCGAGAAAGGAAGAAAATATGCTAGATTCTCGCGTTCTCGCTCTGTAGTGAAAACACTGAATGTATAAATGCTGTGGGGTATATCTCCTCGAAATTACGATATTTAAATTTTTCAAATAAAAAACAGAACAATTGAACTAGTGATTGAGTTTTTACATTGCAACATTCTATCTTAATGTTTTGAGGGGTTGACTTTAGATAATAAGTAATATGTATTGCATTTTTCTTTTTAGTTTATATACGTGAGCAGGTAAATATATTTCCCCCCTTGGATTCAGATATCCAGTCATCCAAATATGAGGGTTGTAGCAGTTTGGAAGAGAGGATTAAAAAAGCAGTTGAAAATTAAAACTTATCAATATTAGTCTTATTTTTTGCATATTTTGTCATATCTCTTAAAATATTTAACCCAATCAAATTAAATAATTTTTGTGCTTAATATGAAACTTATATACTAAAAATTTTAAATTATTCTGTGTTATTTCATTTCATTTAATAATTGTAAGTATAGAAATTTTTATATTTATTGTTACATCATTTCCATTGATAAATTCCAACATTTTAAGAAAATAAGGTGAATAAAGCTAAAAACAACATGAATAGTTTTCAAAAAATGAAAGAAATATGACTTTTTTAAAGTTTGATTAACTCAATCAGAAATTATTTGTCCTTTTTTTTTTTAATATGTGTATATAAATAATCAAACTATTAGATTTTGTCTTTTAATATTGCATGGTGAATATGAGTGAAAATTTGTATCTGTATGTTGAGTAAAAATTGTTTGTTGATTTGAAAATTTCTCAATTATTAAATAAAATAATAAAAAATTATTAAAATTTATTTATACTGTAAATTAAATTACTATTTAAATTTATTTTTACTATGAATTATTTTTTGACATATGAGTTTCATACTTTTTTTTGTAAAAATCGTTTGATTCGCTTAAATAGTTCTCTTGATTTGCTTAAATAGATCTGAAAAAACACAAAAAGTAAAATTAACCTTATAATAGGCTGGGTTTTATGACTGCTCTCCTGACTAAACTTTTGAGCTTATATTTTCCAGAGTGTGGCTATTACCCGCATTTTAAAGGTGAATGATCTAATTTCACATTTTAAATTACAGTAGAGAACCATTTATCCCGTATCCAGATAACCGGGACAAATTTTGCTCGATTTTCCCGCCATTTTAAACTAGAACGAAAAAAGTGGAAATTGGACTCATCCTTGAAGTTGAGTAGAGGAAAATGTAAGGAAGGGGAAAAGTTTTTTCCCCGTTTACCCAGAGAAACGTCATTTCCTCCGTGACCTTGAAGGCAGGGAAGGGAGGAATGTTTTATTTTTTCCTCTAGGCCGTCAATCAAACTCAAGGGTGTGGCATGCTGATTTCGTTTTCTGCTTGATTTACGAGGGGGGTGGGGAAAATGCATTGCAAGCATATCAGTGAACAGAAAAAGAAAAGAGAAAAATATATTTATTTGACATCGACTAATAAAAATAAAATCTTTATCTTTTGAATAAATTCTCATTCTTTGGAAGTGCGGTATCAATTGCAAGTTTTTCTTGGTGTGGAATCACATCTGCTGTAATTAAAAATCTTGTTTTTATCAACAAAAAAAAAATAAAATAAAAGGAGAATTGTTTATTAATTTAAACATAGGATTATTTTATGAAGCAGATTACAGTTTTGTTTTTCTGATTCCACTACGTTTGATTTTTTTTCTTTTCCCGAAAAATTTCTCACTCAATAAATTAATTATTTTCATTCATAAATTTTATCATTAGGTTTTTTTTTTATTTATTTATTTTTTTTTTAGAATTCCGTTGATCTTGCCTTGTTCCGGGTTTTAATATTTATGCTAGTGCCTTTTTTAACTATCGTTTCGGTTCGATAATTTTCAAGTGTTTTTATTTAGATTAATAAGTTTTCCTTTTATTTCATTGTTTCTCCCCGTATAATTGGGTATGAAATATATTGCGTTATTTAATCATTGGTTTTGTTTATATTATTTAATTTAGGAATTTTAATTATTTTTAAAAAATAAATATGAGAATTTTGTATTTTTTAAACTTGATTTTCTTGTCTGAACTTGCAAATTTTTTTATTCTTTTAAATGTTATATTTCTACCATTTTTTTTTCTTTTTAAAGTTAGGAGTACCTTTCTTTTTTCACTTACTTTATGCATTGCACTTTTTCCTTGTACTTCGGGTTCGATAAAACATCGATTAATGACACTTTTTGGTCGATCCAGAATACCGGGAAATTCAGATATCCGGGATAGTGATGGTCCCGAGCATCCCGGATAATTGGTTCTCTACTGTATTTATTTAAATGATTCAGCAGATTTGGTGAAGAATGTAAAAAACAATATTTATGTTAAAAGGTTAAATTTTTTTTATTACTCTCTTGACTAATCTCTAAAAACTATATTTTCCAAGTTACAGTAGTAAGTGAAAATTAAAAAGGTTTAAAAAAAAAAAGTTTTTTAAAAAAAAAGGTTTATATGTGTTCTGCAAAAGTGTTTTTTTTTTGTGTCTAATTTTGTATCTTAAATTATTGTATATATATTTTAATTGATAAGTATATATACTTATATATGTAATTATTTACCATGCTTATGGCAGGAGTCATTTCAAATCTTAAAAAGAGCACACATGACAAAAAAGAGAATTGTATTTAATGAAAATTTTCATAGCTTTTGAATATTTCTAATTAGACAAAGCTCTTAATTTTTCATTAAAAAAATCTTATTTACAAAGAGAAATAGTTTAATTTAAAAATAATTCCTTAGTTAAATTTGCACATTCTTTATACCGGTTTTAAAATGAGTGTGATTCTCAAATTTTAAAAATGTTGCATATAATGACATTTTAAAAATATTTAGATTGTAAAAACAATTTAGAAATGGCTTAATTAACAATAAGTAGCTGTAATAAATGCCAAAAAGTGATTAGAAATTGATGTAGGTGAAGTTGTTGCAAATTGAACGTGTAGAAAAGTGTTTACTAAAACACAAAATTTGCTTGCCATATAAAATTGTATAAGAAATATCAGAATTGAAAAAATGTCCTGCAGAAATAATTGAGAAATGATGAATAGATGCCGAAGAAACAATCCTTAAACAATGGGGGTTTAAGATTAAATCATTACGAATTTAGCAGGTCAAAAAGTGACTTTTTAAAATTAAAATACGCGCATGTCGTAATCATCGTTTTATTGGTCATTGAATTAGAAAAAACAAGTAGAAATAGTTAAAAAAGATTTAGATTTACGGGGGAATTGTCGCATATCAAACACATGAAAAATCGATTACTCTAATTCAAAATTCGCTTGTCATAATTGCTATTAAAAATATTAGAGATATAAAAATTAACTATAAGTAAGAACTGAAAAATTGTCATTCAACGACATGAAGTTACGCTGGAGTCATTACGAATTGAACACTTCAAAAAGTGATAAGCCTATTTCGAATGTCATAATACATCATATTAAATTTATTGGTATTTAAAAAACCACATGAAAGGAGCTGAAAAAAAATGATAAATAACTTCCAAAAAAACCCCTCTCAAACTACAAGAAGTTTTGATGGAATCATCATGAATCAAATGTTTAAAAAAAGTGATAGCTTAAATTCAAAACTCGCATGTCATAATAGCATATTAAATATATCAGAATTTGAAAAACCGTAGAGAAAAATTATGTGGATTTGGAAAAAAATAGACCCAAATAAACAGTTTTCTTCCTTTAAATATAGTATATATATATTGGGACGTGTGATAAGTTTAAAGGCCATGCTGGGCAAAAATTTATCATTCAAAAAGCAAACGGGTGACCTGTTCTGTAAATCCTGCCTGGAATGAACCCTGCTTATGGCCAACCTTTTGAACCATTAAGAGAACATGTTGGCATGTGAAAATCTGGTTATTTGCTTATAATTTATTCAGATATTTGATTTTTTATTTTACATTGTGCACGCCAATTTTATGGGGGAGAATATAATCACTCAATTGCTTAATGTATTTGTGCTTTTATAACTTTCATCATACTTTTTTCATTATGTTTATTGTTTAAATGTTTCTCCTACCTAATTGCATGAGCTTTGAAATTTGATGTGATCAATAAGAGTTATTTCAAGTTTATTTTCAATTGGCTGAAACATTGACTTTAAGGAGTGTTGCTCTTATTCTGGAAGAAATTTAAGTAAAATATTTTAGGTCTTACTAAATTTAAATCTGTGTTATTTATATAGGAAGATGTTTTCAGAGAAGTTATTACTTCAACCACATGGAAGTCTCTTATTAATAGAAAAAATGCTGAAAGGTTAAAAGTAAGTTTCAAGTTTGAATTATATTTCATTTTTTAGAAATATAATAGTTTTTTTGTCCATAATTTATTTCATTTTGTTTTATTTTCTGAGGCTAATTGCAGCTCTACTTTCTTATTAAGTATTAGTTTGAAAATTGTTAGTAAAATTTTTTTCAAAATAATTTTATTTCTTGCACTGCACTGCCTCAATTACTTCATAACCAAAGTTCCGTTAGTAATTAACAAAGACATTTCTAAAAGTCTCAAATTTAGAGATAATGGTTGTGTTTCTTTCAATATGACGAGAGTATTTATCAAGCCCTTTAACTCTTCCAAGAAAAAATAGTTTTTTTCTTACCTATTTCAGTTACTGCAAAAGTAATTTTTACTCATTTTATAATTTCATTAAGTAGTATACTGTAACTTTTTTTTTTAGGTAGAAGTGCTGTATCTAATATTGTTATTGCTTTTTTTATGTCATTAAATATTATTAACAATTTGATTATAGAATCCAAATAAATCTAATTAGTAATTTCCCAAATGCGCAATATATTTTAATCTGTCTTATTTTTATTTTTAAAGTGCGACTATCATTTATTTTTAAAGTGACAGGTTGCTCGTAACAGATTTGTTATTTTTCTCAAGTTATGGGTTACATTGTTATTATTTTTTTCAACTGATTTTATTCCATCCCTTCTCTACACTATTCATTAAAAAAAAAAAAAGCGAATCACAGATGTTGTAGAACGTTGATTAATGTTTGCTTTATTTTGGGATTTTTAAAAGCTGCGTTTAAAAAATACTGAACAATTTGTTTGCATGTTAGTGGCGCAGCACAGTATAAAAATGTATATTAAATAAGTTTATATATAGTTAGTTCATGATGTGAAAATGATTTCAAAATATTGGGAAACCTCTTATTTCGTCTCTTAAATGATTATACTGTGTGAAGAAGAGGGTTACCCTCTCTTCTTCACACAGCTTTTTCAGCACACAGCACAGGATAGACTTAAATGTTTTCTATCTTGGCAAATGTTTCCCTACACTTAAACACTATTTAATTTTTAAGTTAACTGTGTTTTTCTATTTTAAATAATCACTCATCGTCAAATAATTGTTTAATCTTTTGAATATTCAATTTCTTTGTGTTGAGTTTCTGTGTCTGAAGGTTTCCTATTACTCTTTTCATTCCCATTGAATAACATAGGTAGAATCAAATGTTTGAAGCAAAAAAGCTTTGAGCTGAAAGTTCTGAAAAAGCTGGAATCTATGATAATAGAGTTGAAGTCTTTTTCATCTTTATTTTCTAAGGGGATTAAAACTGATCTTAAAAAGGCACTTATTAATACAAAATAATAAAAAACGATTAATGGCAAATGATTTTTCTTTATGGGATCTTCAAGTTTTAAATCATCCTATCATAAAAAACTTGAAACTGTTTCTGAAGTTTGATTTTTATCATTTTGGTTATCATGGACACTTTTACCTTGCTTTTCTATCAACTGATTTAAATTTTCGAGACTATTAACTTTGAGTTTCACTTTTTTGAAATTAAGTTTTTGTCATTTCAGCAACTACTTCCAACTTTTCCAGAAAATGATGACTTTGAGAAACAAGAGACTTTAAGGTAACTATATTGTTCCATTCAGAAATTATTTAATGGATTAATAAGTTTTAAGTATCCAGTAATTCTTAAAGGTGCAAGTTAATATTTACACCAAGTTCTTAAGATTTACTTATTCAGGTAAAATGTAAAAATTATTAGTTTGAAATGAGGCTTATAGAAACATTTAAAATCATGGAACTAATTTGGGACACATTAAAATTACTGAGTTTGTATTATTATTATCTATTATTACATAATCAGTCTATATACTTATTAGTAGAATTTACCAAGACACTCTGTAATACAACCATCAAAAAATCAAATTTGTATGCAATTTCAACGCAGTCACTCAAAGACTATTGTAATAGTTGAGCTTAATCTAACATGTATAAAGTACAATTTGAAAATATAAGGTTGTAAAAATTAGATACAAAAAAGTATGTTAAAAATTTGTCGCTGTAGATATGAATTCATGAAAACAATAAAATAAAAAAAATCTATAATGGTTTATAATATGACGATTCTAATAGAAAAACTTTTTAAGCCTAAATCTGCATTTAGATCTTAGTAACGGACCTTATATGAAAGGACGTCACACTCCTAGTTCTAACAAATATTTGGCCACTATTCGGTATTCTGCCCTTTTTGCCAGATATTCAGCTGGTCAAATATTTAGTAAAGTATTTTTCGATGAAGTTTTTTCTTCTTCTTTTTTTTCCTTCTAAATTTCAATAGATTTAATAAAGAATTATCCAAATTAATATTTTTTTCTAAACATTATTAGAAATAGATTTTACTCATATTTGCTAAGTTCTAAAACTTGGAGACTGCTTGCAAATTTATGTCCTGTAGACAAATGAAAAAGCAACATTTAAAGAATTGAAACTAGATTAATTCATACTGTACCACAAGTTTTGTATTGCTGATTTTTTTAATTATATTCAGGCAAGTCAATTACATCATTTTTTCAATACTTTGCATTTTTTTTCTTTTCTCGTTTTTCTGATTTTATCATAACACAGCATTTCTGAAAAACTTTATTCTTTTATTGTCCCAATTATATTTTAAGAACTAAAGACAATTTTTTTCTTATGCTTTTTTTACTGACTTTTTTTATTGGCGTTTCTATAATGATCAGGCAATTAAGAGGGTTCCTATACATATATGTATGCTAGTTTTATATAGCTGTATAGTCAGATTTTTTATTTATCTTAAATGTGTGTAATAGATAAGTATTTTGTTTTTTTTTCCTTTACCCCATACCAGTTTCCTATCTTGGTTTTGATTAACTTTAAATAATGACTGAACTTCTTTTAATTATTACAAAATTAAAATTTTAACTAATTAAATTTTTTTGCTAAAAAAAGGAAGACAAATTTGGTTTAAATGGTGTAGCTTTATTAATAAATTTCTTTTAATTTATATAAGATTTGAAATTTATTTTTATATGTCTAAAAATGAAATTTATTTTTACATGTTTTAGTTTTATCACTTATATTAACTTTGCAAATGTATTATAAATGAACTAAACTTATTTAAGGCTTAGTTTTAACAAATTTAATGAATTTTAAATATACTCTTTGTGCTCATTTAGGATTTTCATTTAATCCAGTTTATCCCATTCCATTGGAAAAAGTTATTTCCTCTTGGAAAATGTGAAACCGAAAACATCAAAGATGTCTACTTCATTAAATTACAGAATATAAACATTTTTGCTTTACCTTTTTAATGCAATAATGTGGCTCCTTTACTAAGTATTTAAAGTATTTTGAAATATTTCTTTTGGAAATGATATATTTCAAGTTTAAAGTTCGTTTTTGAAAACTAAAGATCATTATATTATTCTCAGAATTATGAGCAAGACAATTCGTGGTTATATGCTTTAAAAATAACAGTAAATTATTTTTAAAAAAACCTGATTTTGGGTATTTATCAGAGACTGGTAAATACCTGGATAAATATCCATTTATAAATACCCTACCCACATTTATAAGTATAGGGATAGATACCAACAGAAATGATGTCGCATCTATGAAGTTACATCACAACAACTGGTGTCTCAGCTGTGCAATTTAATATTCTGATTTTATTTATTTCTGAAGTGGTTGATTCAGTATAACTTTTTCTACATAATCAGAAAAAATATGAGTATGTATATATTCAGATTTTTTATTTATATATCCTTGTTTAATTATTGGTAGGTTTAGGCATAAGGCACATATAAATATCAACTTTACAATAGATAAATATCTGTCCTGAATAAGCCTGTACAGTAAGAAGAGTATACTAAATTAATTGCTACTAATGATTGGGTGAATAATGCTGAATGGTATATATAAGTAAATATTTGTTCTAGATGCTATTTTATATGATGAGGAAAAAAATATTTTGACTCAAAAGAAAAGCCTTTCTTTCATTTCTTAGTTCTTTATACTTAGCAGCTATGGTGCTGCTTTTAAATTTGTTTAATATTTTATTTATTTTAATAATATATACATTTGTTAAATATAAATGTTTTGATTTTTAGGAAGCTTTTCAATGGAGACAATTTCAGATTTGGAAGTCCTTTCAAATTATTTTTTCAGAAACTAAGAGGTATGATACACATAAAAAGGTATTTAAATAAATATATATAGGCATGCCTTACGAATCATGACTATTATAGTAAAGAAATTCTGTTTGTTTAAAAGTATTCATCAGCATGCATTTATAGTTTAATTACTTAAGTAATTAAAGTAATTACGTAAGTATAAGTAAAGCATATATCCTTAAGGATATATGTTTTTCTTCATTTGGATGTAAGTGCATAAATTTAAAGGTATGAAAGCTGTGTTTTAGATATTTTTTCTTAATTTACGTAAATTGATAATTTTTTATACGTCCTATTAAAATATTTACCTCTTTCTTAAACAAATTATTTATTTTATTTTCAAATTTTTTACATAAAATTATCGAACTATTAAGCCTCATTCATCAAGCTTGAGGAGATACTTTAAAATATTCTGTATTTTAAAAAGCATAATTCAAAAGCAATATCACATTACAGAACAGCTTTGAGCTATAGCTTGAGTATTCATAGTCAAAGCCTCATTTTTTTTAGATTGTGTGTGACTACCCTTTTCTAATTTTTGGGGTAAAACTTTATGTCCTTGCTAAAAGATTTTTTTTGATAAGAAAGCTACTTTTTTATGTCTTTGATTTTAATTTAATGAATGCTTATTTCTAATGACCTAACATGACTTGACTCTTGAACTGATCCAATCAAAAGTTGTGAGTAAAAATTTATTCAGGATCTTTTGTTTTTCTATCCTGTTTATATATTGGCAGGTTTATGTAATAAAAGATGTAAAAATATTAGTGTGCACCTACAATGGTTGTAAATTGATAAAAAAGAGCAACTAAATTAATCAATGTCATATGCACAGCTTCTTGCATGGTACAAAATCAAACCCTTCTTGGACAGGTTAATTACTGGGGAGGAAAAGTGGATTACCTATGAAAACATATGAGGAAAAACGCGTAATGTGAGCCTGGATAATCGGCCCCCTCCGAAGAAAAATAAAACATCTAAAATATAGCTATTTTTTTAAATTTAATATTAAAGTAGGAATATAATTCAGCTGTATTGATTCATTTGTTTTTTCAGCTCAAAATATTAATGTAAAAACTTGGAAAACATATGAAATGTTATCTTCTTTTTTTTCAATAAGTCATTACAAAGCAAAGACAATAGAGATTTAATGTACTGTATTATAAAATTTATAATTTAGTTTCATCGATTTTTCACAGAATTGACTGAAAAAATTTATAGCTGTTTGTCTTTTTGCCTTTAGATGGATTTTTATCTTCTGAAGTTGTGGAGATTACTAATGCATTAAAAGAAGCAAATTATAGAGAATATAGAAGTCAGCAAAAGCAGTATTCTTATAAGTTACTTCATGATGTATTACTTTCCCGGCAGGTTAGTTCTTTCAAGTAACTACAAAATTTTTGCAAAATGTAGTATTTTTCTTTAGCATTTCAAAGGAAACATATAATTTTGCAAACAAACTGTACATTACAAGATTTTAGTCTAATATACTGGATAAAAAGATCAGAACGCTGATACCCTACTTCTAGCATTATTTTCAGCAGATAAAACAAAACAAGCAGTATACTGTTTTATTGAGGTCATCAAACTCCTCTTGCCAAATTGAAGGAAAATTCCTATGTTTGAGTGCCTTAACCTGAAATAAAAGCTTTAATTTTTACCACACACACACACACACATATGTATGTATATAGTATTGCTGAAAAATTAGTTGTATTTAAAAACATTGAAATATTTTAATTATTTTACAAATTACTATAAAGAAAAATTTTTTTTTGAAAAAATATTGCTAAGCTGGCAAAATTTTTACCTAGATGAAATTTACAATTTTGCATATTTTTATGGTTCAAAACTAAGCAATGAGGAAGTCACTTTTAATATATTAAAAAGAGTTACAAGTGCAAAATTTGATTTTCTACACACTGAATTTTCACTTCATTTTTGTAATCAGCGTATAACTGTAAAATCCCATGACCAGAATTGTCAGGACTTCAGAAAGTCTGGAAAATGGATTTTTCCAGATAATAGGCCTTTAAGGTAAACAAGCATCAAAACATACGCTATTCAATAAAATAAAAAATGACAAATAGACAACTCTATAAGTCAATTTCATACAACGTTTTCTTATAACTTGAATGACCTTTAATTAACTAAAGAATGCATATTGTGTGAAGAAATAGAATTGCAGATAATCTGTTAAAAATCACATTAGCAAACCAGCCTCGAATTCCAAAAGTTAATACAAAGCTGACTAATTGATTTAAGCTGACTAATATAATGTAAACAAGGGACAGAATCCAGTAGATTTTTTTAATGAGAGCATTTGAAACCTGAAGGGAAACAAAACATGTCTGTTCTTTTTAAACACCATTAACATTCAGCTTCATTATTATTTATAGTTCATCTTTTTACCAAAGATTTTTTTTAAACTGCTTTTCTCCATACATGGGAACGTTAATTTTAAAAAGTAATGAGTAAAAGTACAAGTACTTATGGTAAAAGTAACAAGTAAATAGTAAAAAGTTTTGATCTAAAAAAGTGACAGGTAATAAGTACAAGCAACAATTTTAAATTGCATTTCAAGGAAATCGAAATTTTAAAATAACGTTAAATTTCATTAAACAAGTGTAAGAAAAGATATAACTTTAAAATATATTAAATTTTTATTAAAACGTGTAAAACTTTAAAATGTATGAAAATTTTACAAACTTCATTGAAATAATAAATGCTGAAAATATCCAGAAGTCAAAATTCCCTGTTCGTATATAAAATTATTATTCTTTATACTGTCAAATGTTTAGAAATTTTGTTTTCATTATCAGAATTTCTTGTAATAAAATAATTGTAGAAGTAATTTGATAAATCTTGCAATATTTGCTTAAACAAGTAAACAAATTTAAAAAAATTTATTCGTATACACAGGTAACTTAAACCATTAAATTAAAAATCATAATTAGTTTTTAATCATAATTAGTATGTAATTTTACAATTCTAAATAATGAAGATTTTTTTATTTGATAAATAGAACTTTAAAAAATACTGTTTTTTGTTGTCTTAAATTGTCAAATACTATTTTAATAAATCTACTATTTTAACAACAATTTTAATAAATCTGTTCAAATCTATTAAACCAAAGGTTTTTAGTACGAAGTTCAGTTTTTTCATATTATTTCAACTTAAAAGTAAAAAAAATTATAGTACTTTAAACTAAATATAGTATATGGAATTGAAAAAAAAAATTGGTTTTACTGTTTTAATATTTTATGAAACAAATCTTTAAATTGTTTACAGCATTAAGAAAAAAAAATTTTTAATGAATAAATTTTTACCAATTATCATCACAAAAAAAATGAAAACTAATTAACAAATAAACAAATTCCCATTTAAAATTTAAAAAAATTAACATTTAAAAATTAGAAATGTAATTTTTTAGGTTTTAAGGAAGGAGGGCAACGAATGTTTTTTTGATCCCTCCGTTGATGCTATACCATGGTAGTAACAAATTTTAGCATATCTGATGAATGTAAACAATTTGAGTATAATTCAATGCATTTATTTAAATATTTAGAAAATAATTATCGAGTCATTGTTGCTTTTCAGGATCAGATAAAAAATTAAAATCCTTTTTTTATTTTCAAAATGTAAATATAGGAACATCTTTAAATGCACATCTTTCATCTGTTTTTATTTTTCAGAACAGAAGGGGGAGTATTCAATCTTAAATTGTTGGTTTAAATTAGTTGTCAAGCGAGGCAGAGGCGTCACCTTTTTTTAAGTAATTATTGGAGGACACCAAATGACCTTTGAACCTTCAGTTCAGATTTCTCATTGAAATTGCTATTTTTTCCAGCCAGTTAAGGGGTTTCATATTCCCTTCTCCCAGTTACACGGTTGTTTTTAAAAGGCTTTGTAATAAGGAGATGAAGAAGTTTGGTGGCCTTGACTTGTAGCATAGGGTGTTCGAAGAGAAAATAGAGATTTGTCTTGAGATTTTTTTTGAAAGAGAAAATTTTAAAAAAAAAATCAAAAAAGTATTGATTTTTTCAAAATTTTCGTTATAAATATTTGTACCTTTTCCCCAAAAAATGACGAAAAAACAAGTAAAAGTATTAAATTAAAAAAGTAAAAATGCGCACTTTTTACCTTCGTTACAAGTAAAAGTATTGCCATGTATGCTTTTGTCTTTTTCAACAACTTTTTTAGTGCATATTGAAATAGGATAAATGTTTAGCTAGCTGTTGCAGCAAGAAGAAACAAAAATTTTAATTTTTGAACTAATATTTTTTAACCATTGAAAAAAAAAATTTTTTTTCTTTGAAAAAGGAAAAAGAGATTCATTTTGATTGCTAAAAAGTGTCCAGAAAATTGACTTTTCGAGTAAACAGGCTTCTGCATATCAGACTTTGTACTGTATGTGATGGCTATAGTTGTTTAAAACTTAATCTAACAGTTATGAAGGATTATCTGAAACTAACATAGTTATGAAAATGAGGGGTTATTTCTAATGACAAGAAAGCCTTAAAGCTTTATTTGTGGTTTCCTATCAATATTCTTCAAAGTTAATTCATAAAAAAAGTCTGACTAAACTTCCAGAATTTTCATGATTATTACTTATTAAAATTTTTTAATTTTTGGCATAGTTTACCCATGTAGTTAGGTTGATTAGTAATGTAACACCATATTGTAATAAATGTGGTTTAAAAATAATTTGCCATACCAATGTACAACAGCATAAAATGTCTTGATCAATTATGAACACTTAATTTGAAAAATTTCAGAAATTTTATAATTATAAGTAATTATTTCTATCAGTAAATGATAAAACCAAAGTTCTTATACTATTTAGAATTATGTCATGTTTTTACATCATGTATAATGTATGTGGTAGTTAAATAACAATGATAGTTAAATTTCAATAACATTTAAAGGCATCAATTTTTTTTAGATGTTTTATGAATATCTTTAATTTATTTAAATATAGTGGTGGTCAAATTCTTTTTGAATGAAATATTAACACATAATTTTTACTACTACTTCAAATATTTGAGAAAAAACCTTAGTTTAAAAGCTAGAGGGTTGGTTTGCAATTTTTATCTCTGATAAATATGACAATTTGTTTATATTTAAATTGTAATAGATAAAATTTGACCTCATGAAGATCTTTTTTTTTCATATTTTTTAGTATGCAATATTTTCTAGTATATGCAGCACTTTAATTTATTTCTTTTTACAGGCCACTTATAAAAAAAAGTTTGCAAAAGATGTAACTTAATTTCGCAAATAAATGTGTTTGACAGCCACAACATCAGGGTTTTTGTGAAATTTTGGAGCTTTAATCTCTTTAAGCTCTATGTATAAATATTTCATCAATATACCACTTTTTATTGATTTAGTGATTGTCTAATTTGATATAAATGTTGACGTTTAAGATAAAAACAAATTTCATTCATATATATATGTATATATATATAAATGCTACCAAAAACCTCTTCATCCTCCTCCTTATAAAATTATCATCTCAGAATCTACACTAGAATAATATATGATGCAGGAGGTTCAACAGTAATACTTACTTAGGATAAACGTAACTTCAAAGAAATTAGATGCTGGAAAAAAGTATGAAATTAGATAAAATATTCTAAAAATTGTGGAAAGTTTTTTATTACATAAAAAAGAATTATCTGGCTGTAAACAAATTTCTCATAATTTATTATAACAAGATATTAGGTAATATTAACGAAATTTTCTAAAACCAGCCATTGAAATAGTCTTGGTTATCTAGATTGAGAATGTCGCTTGCTTAAGCAAGTTAATCTTTTCATTATTTCACACTTTTGAGCTTGAAGACCTATCAAAGCTATCACCTAAAGATCAGTGTATATTAAACAGTTATTCATACTTAAGGAAATTTGTTGTGAGTATTTTGTTCATATGTGTTTTAAATTTTTTCTTCCTTATACATTGTCATTTCTTTGTAAAGTATTGTTTGATGTATTTAGATTTAAAAAAATTATCTATTTTGGTATTTGTCAGAAACTGGTTGAAGCTTCCTATGCTTTACCTCCTGAGAATTCAGTTAAAATGCAACAGTATTTTACGAAGCCAAAGGATGCTACTTTATCTGAAAAGACAAGATTAAGATATTTTTCTATGCTGCAAGATCTACGAGAAGAAATTGGAGAAGTTGATACTTCTTCAGATGATGAAAATTATCCAGGTTTGAAGAAAGTTTAAATTTTTTAAGTAAATGACTGATTACGCTTACATTTATTAACAGAAATAGTGTTAATAAAAAAGATAATAAAAATTTCATCCAGGGATAAATGGGAGACAGATTTTCAAAAAGACATTGAATGTTTTATAATTTTCAAAAACACTGGTTATTAAATAAATTAAAAAAAAGTAAATTAAATATATTATAATAGTAAGTTTGAAGTTCTTATTAATGTATGCAAATAATTATTTTTTTCTTAAGAATTTTCTCTTGTTTTAAGCTCAGTGGTGTGTTGTTAAGTATAGCAAGCTATTTCCCTTCCTTTATACTGTTTAGTATCTATTGCTTTATAAAATCATTTAGTACAAAAAGTAAAGAAAAAATTATACTTTTAAGCAAGTTTATTATAATGAAAACATTCTGCCCATTCCTGACTTGAAAATTCCTCTCAATATTTTCGTATGAACTATTATGAAAATCCAAAATGGCTTACTGCTATAAAAAATTAGTCCTGTATCCAAAATTGTCCTGACTTCGACAAGCCTAGAAAATAGATTTTTATAGGTCAGTAAGGTAAACAACAAAAGCTTTTGATACGAATGAAAAAAGATTTTTTTTCTTATAATTTTTTTATTGAAGCTTTAATATTCCATAAAAATTGAAGACACAACTATTAAAATATATATAAAGCGTGTAAAATAAATAAAATATCTACAATGTTTGCCTATAAATCTAAAATTCAAATGAATTCTTAATTGCTCATTAGACTTAATTTTTTTTTAAATAGAAAGTTGCCCTCCTAAAGTTCCTAAGAAGTATAAAAAGCATTTCAATCATGAAGTTAGCACTGGTGCTAGTATTTGTATGCCAACAACATCTGACACATCAAATTATTCAGGTAAACTATTTTCATTGGATAATTTTTGAATTTTTTTTTTCGTTTGATAACTTTTGTATATGTTGCTAGCAATGAATTAGAAGAGAGCAAGATTTTACAAAAGTTAAAAATTTTTGGATCCGGCAGTGATTGTTTAGAAGTCAGTATTTTATGAATTGAAAAGTTGCATAACTGCCTTTTTCTTTTGTGAATTACTTGAAGACAGTTATTATTTTTAAATAAATATTATTTAAAATAAATTTATTAGAACTTCTTTTGCTTTTTAACGTGTTTAATTTAGGGTGACTGGACAAACCAATTAAAAATTTAAATTAGGAATTGACTATAATCAGCATCATGTGATCAATCCACAATTGCTGGAACATATACTTGGCCATTACTTTGGCAGCAATTTTCATACAAATATATATTGCAATTTATTAAAAAAAATATTGAATTAAGCCTAATGAGGAAAAGTGGAACTATTATTTAAAGTGCTTGGATGTTAGTAGAGCCTATATTTACTTAGAAGGACTTAATTTAATATGACTTAGTTAAGAAAACTATCTTGCATAACTACAACTGAATATGTAATAAATCTCTAGCAACAAAATATAAAAACTTGTTCTTATAATTTTTTTCAATGTTGTTTTTTTACCAGATTTCTTTATTTACTTTTTTTATGAAAAAAAAATATGAATCTTAATTTCTGCACTCAAGTTTACAAACTGAGGGAAAAAATTCTAAGACCTAATTCAGTTTTAATGAAATCACTAAAAATGGAATGCAGATAGTTTTGATAGATGTAATTAACTCTAAATAATCTGAAAATATTTCAAGTTTATTTCAGCATAATAATATTTATTATTATTTAAAAAATTTATAATTAAGCTTAATATCAATTATAATTTTATATATAAATTAATTGTAAATATGACAACAATATATTATTGATTTTTGTTGCCATTTGCATGGTATCGGATGTAGTAAGTAAAATTGCCGTGCTGCTCATATGGTGCCATTGGCTTTGTTAAAGAGTTAAATTATATGAAAGCATTGTTTTGAGTACTATAATAATATATAAACTTAATTTATTAAATATATATTAGAGTTCAATTACGTTTTCAAGCTACATAAATAATGTCATTTCATGGAAACTGATAATTTGTCATAAATGAACTAGTTTGATTTAATTATAACTTAAATCACTGTTACCAGCGTAGATATTTTAAAAATGCAAAATTAGTATTATACTTAAAGTTAAACATTTGTAATGGAAATTTTATAAATAAGAACAATAATTATAATTTCATATAAATAAAAAAGTATTCTTAACGTTTTAGGAGCCCCAATGTTTTATAAAGAACAGATACTTCACTTTCTCATTATAACTAAAGGCACATTAGTATGTTCTTAAAGCAAGTTGAATGTATTTCAGTTCATGCTCTTAAAATAAGTCGAATGCATTTCAATTTATGTATCAAGTTAATTTATCATCAAGGACAATTATTTTGTATTAGAAGCAAAACCTTGATCTAGTTCAATAAATTTTGTTAAAACCAATTAAAAAAGTGAGTTTCTTCTATTGAGTCTACCCAAAAAATTTCAACTGTAGTTTGCAAAAGTTGCCTGGCCCCACTTTGGTGAACCTTAGTAATGAGTGCAATTATATCAGCGCTTGCATTATATTGAAATTGTTTTTTTTTCTTTTCTGAAAGGTAAATATTTGGATTGTCACACTGGGTATATGTATATTTGGCAATTATTATACTATTTTCAAGCTCCCTACTTTTGAAAAAAAGTCCTTACCGTATTTTTCGGCGAAAGCGCCGCTTCGTCGCAAGCGCCGCACCTCAATAAAAATGAAATTTTTTAAAAAAAAGGTTGTAGTAAGCGCCGCAATGGTGCTAAGCCGCGCATATCAGCATCCATTTAGAAGAGACCTTTAAATTACCATTTAGAGTATCTGTATAATAAAAAATTAAATTTTTTTATGCATTTCATGAAGTAAAGTTTTAATTTCTAAATTATAATAAAAAATTTCTTTTTCAGCAAAAAAAAGCAACAAAAAAAGTTTTCTCTTTCAGCAAAAAAAAAAAAAAAAGAAAACAAAACTATATAAACTAAAGTTGTTCTTACCAGTTGGCACCGCACCAAAAAACAGAAGAACAGCAAAAAAATATTTATATGTTCAGTAGCTGAATTAAGGCTGAACTGATTACAGAAATCCGTAAAACAATGTAATAAGAAAAATAAAATAAAAATTTATTAAAAGAAAGATTTTAAAATTTATTACCGTTAAGAATTTGAGGAAAAACTAATACATAATAACGAAACAGCTAATAATAATAAAATAACTAATAATAACAAGAATAAGAAATAACTAAGCAGGCCCCAAAAAAATTCTGAAGGAATGAGCGAAGGGGAAATAAGTTTCACTTTCACAATCTTTGAGGGTGGAATTTTAGTGGGTAGAATGATGCCCTCTCCTTCAATGGAAATAACCCAATGTGACTCAACTTAGAAAGAGAGAAGAAAATGTTTAAAAGAAAGGTGTACCCCACCTCCTCCACGTGTCATTTCTATTGGAGCTGTTTAGGAGGAATCAATCAGTTATATTTTAAAGGGGTTGGGGAAAAGAAAAGGGTGTGGGACCCCTAATCTAGCATTCCAAAATTCAGCACTTAATCTGATCTAATCTTTTTCGTTTTTTTTTAAAGAAATTTATACTGATAAGACAAAAAAACTCAGCTATTTTCTTTTGAATTTTATTCTGTTGAAGTAACTTACTTTATTTTATCTTTTAAAAATAAAAAAGAAGCTTGAAGAAAAAAAAAAATAAATCTGTATCAAAGGAAACATCTGTTTCTAAAGCAGTTTAAAATAAAGTGAGAAGTAAAAACACCTGCATTTCCAATGAACAAAATAAAGAAATGGAAGTTGGAAAAAACTGATCAATCAATCTTGACAGCTGTGCTTGTGCTTTACTGATTTGCCCCCAAATTTCCCTCCTCTCTTTGACCATAAATTGGCCACACCCAGTTGACATTGAAACTACCATGTGGACAATAAAATGAATTTATTCCTTTTGCGGTTTTTTATTTGATTCATTAAATTTTTTTTATTTTGCCGCTTTTTATTTTTTCTTGTTAATTGCTGCTTGCTTGTTTTTTTTTATCGTTATTAGTTTTTAGCTTGTTTTTTGTTGTTATTCATTGTTAGTTTCTTAGCATTAGTTGTTAAAATTTTTTTTTTTTGTAGTTCCCTGCTATCTTTTTTTTTTCTTGCGAGGTAAGCGTCTTTTGTTAAAACAAAATGTTATCTAAAAGAAAAAACGAGAACTATGATCTCGCTCCAAAGAAGAAACGATTATTTCTTCTTCATAGGATTCTGATTATTTCTTCTTCATTATATATTACAGTGTAACGTCCCATATCCGGACGTCCCTTTCCCGGAAGGGTCGATTTCCCGGACACTTTTTAACAATCAAAATAAACAAACATCTCTCCATCTTCCCCTTTCCAAAAAAAAAATAAAAAAATCTTTTGACAAATTTTTTCTTTTTCTAGTTTGCACTGAACCTCTGACTTATGCATCGAACCCATAAATCACCAGAAAGGGGAAATGAAGATCTACCAAGACCATTGAGTGACCGTTAGTGACACTCCTCCCTTGGAATGTAGGAAAAAGAGGGAGATTTGTTTTCAAAACACCGTAACTGAGTCCCCCCCGCTTTTCCCATGCAGGTGGCTAGTAAAAGAGGCATTTCCTGGAACCTTTTTATTGAAAGAAGAAATACTGTGGAAAAGGGTAAACGGGGCAAGCGTTAAGGTGGAGGGGGAGTCAGAATGAAAAATTTGAATAGGTCTAAAATGATACACGTCCTTGAGAAACAAAACATTCGTTCTTCCCCATTACATGTAATATTTAGGAGACGGGGGGAAAAATGGGGTAACATTCTCTTTTGAGCAGATTCTTTCAGTCATAAAAGAAAAAATAAAGAGAACCCGATCAGCGTGTCCCGCCTTTATGCTTGATTGATAGCCAATGATTGGAGAGAAAACAATAATTTGTTACTTCCCCACCCTCAACTTAAATGATCTCCTCTTTACACTTATTTTCTTTCACAAATAAGGAGGAAAAGAATTTTTCTCCTCCATCTACCCACCTTAATGAATGACGGGAATTTCCCTTTCTTGCTTGAATCATTCTAGTTAAAAATGGCGGATTATTATTTTCATATGTCAATTTTTTTAGTTTTCTATATTTTAAGCAATAATATTTTTTTTCTAATATTTCATATTTTATTGATTAGATATTCTAATACTAAAACATTATTCCCCTTAAAAATAATGTTTATTTATTTTTTGCTTCTTAGATTTAGATCATTTTAAGCTTTGTTCCAGAATTTCCCCTTCCTGCTTGAATCATTCTAGTTCAAAATGGCGGATTAATATTTTCGTAACTGTTAAATTTTTTTCGTTTTCCATATTTTCAGCAATAATATTTTTTTTTCTAATATTTTATATTTGATTGATTAGATATTTTAATGCTAAAACATTATTCCCCTTAAAAATAGTGTTTATTTATTTTTTGCTTCTTAGATTCAGATCGTTTATTAAATCATTTTAAGCTTTGTTTACCTCAGGGGTGTATTATCCGGAAAAATCTATTATACGGACTTCTGGAAGTCCCACCGATTCCGGATACGCGACTTTACACTGTATATAGATTATTATTTTGATTAGCAAAATTTCTCTTAAGATGGGCCAGTTTTAAATTCACCCCATCATAATCTACGATCGAAACTTGACTAAATTTATTGGTTTTTCTGAAATTAACAGTGGAATTGAATTATAGTCATATTTGGGGGCCATATTGGAATTTCCGAAAGAGATCCGAAGTTCGGCACTTCGTCAGTCCCGTGAACGTCGTATTTAGGGTCCTATTCTTCATTTTCTGTTCACTTAAATTACAATTGCCAAGGCGCTAAATAGATTTCTATCTTGCGATTTTTCCTTAAGCTGGGGGTGGATGCAAGATGCATACCTTTTAAATTTTCTCCTTATGAGATGTTTTTTTAAAATTATTATTTCGTTTATTTATTTTCTTACAGGCTGCTGCCGAAAGTTTGCTAAGAATTGGCGATGTTCTGCAGTAGATCGTGATACGGGCGAATATTTCGTCAACTTCGTTATAAATTTTTTTTAATAGTCTTTCTCTCAGAAAATTATTTAATCTTAAATAACTTTCCTTGACAAATTTTTTTGCTGCAAAAAAATATTTCGTCGGAAGCGCCGCTGCATCGAAAGCGCCGCATGTAGGAAAAAAAACTTTTTTTTCGATAGCGCCGCGACTCTTCCGCCGAAAAATACGGTACTTTATTCCAAGAAATTGTTAAACTTATGTTATTTATTAATTAATTTCTGCTTTGTTAAAAGAGTGAGAACCCTGTTAGAGTAAGCTTTTATTTATAAATAAATTTAATTGGTTTCAAAGTGGCTGCTTTTTAGAGGCACACACACTTATTGAAATTTTCAGTAACAGACCATAAGTCTTCTACCTTTAATCTATCCCACTCCTGTGTAAACGATTGCTTTAGAAAGTCCAATCTTTTATGTGCAAGGATTGTGTACAGAGCAAACAAGCGATTTCTTACTGTCATTTTCCTTGCTTTATTTTCCTTGTGTTATTAAAAATATGAACACACAAATTAAAAATAAGTTATTCAACTTCTATTCTATCCGGCACGGCTATAACTTTGTCCAAGTTTCTTTGCCACATCCTGTATTCATCAACTAGACAATAGTAAACTTTTCCTTTAGTTGATCATTTGTTTCCTTAGAAATTTTAGTTCTGTTAGTTTTTCTACTCCCTAATCTATTCTAATACAATATCTTAATCAGGGTTGCCACTCCTCAGGGAGAACAGGGAAAACCTGGAAAATACAGGGAATTTAAAAATCACCTAAAATAACAGGGAAAATGCAGGGAATTTTGATTTTTTTCTTTACAAACTGAGAAAATACAGGGAATTTTGTTTTTACTTTTGTCTTTTAAAAAATGGTGACCACTCAAAGCCTAATCTATGGGATATTTAACCATGATATTTCAGCTATAATAAACTATTTCAGTTACTATAGCATTATTTAAGTATGTTCAGCTGTTTTTCCAGCAATTAAAACTAATAAATATAGTTAGCCCAATATAGCTTACACAAGAGTGCAGTAATTGTTGTTTCTTCTTAACATATTGTGTATAATATGTACAGGGAAAACACAGGGAACTTTTTCTCCAGATTTGAGTGGCAACCCTGTTAATTGCAATCTCTTAGTTGAAAGATAACTATTAATGTCTTACAACTTTCATAGGTAGTTGGCTACCTTTTTCAATAGAACAAATTCATTCCTAAATGAGGATTTTTATACTTTAAACTAATGAAGGTATTAAAAAAAAATAACCCATAACATTAAAGTTTAATAATGCTTGCTGGTGAGAATAGAATGACTATTTAAATAAGAAAAATTGTCCATATATACTGCAGTAAAAACATATTCTGTCCAATAAAATTTGAAATTCTGTTTAAACTAAAGCTCTTGTTTTATATTCTTTTTTTTATATCTTTCTGCAGAAACCATCTTTACTATTTCAGGGTGGAACCACATTTACACTGTAATGGATCCCCACAACTTAACATAATATTCAATGAAAAAAGTATATAACTAGAATAAAGATGAACTAACATAAACTAGAATAAAGATGGAATTTATTACTAAATCTCTATTTCCCTCTTGTAACAGAATTATTTTTAAACATATAATTTTGTTTTTGTTTTTTCAAATGTATTGCTTTTCTATAGTCAAGTTTACTCTCCTTAATTGCTTTTCTGTTTTTCTTCAGTTAGTAGTTCTCATAATTTATAGTTCACAGTACTTGTTTTAAAGATTTCCTGTGTTCTGGATTCAGGGTCCTATACTGTACTAATGGAAAAAATGCCAGTTTAAAATCATGTAAAGATGTACAAAAACACTGTGATAGTGACCCTATCGTTTTTGATAAATCTTATTTTAACTTTAATTCTAAAAGTGTAAGAAAATCAAGGACTTGGAAGTATCAAACTTTTCATTTTCATTTTTTTAAAAATGTTGGTGAAACTTTTAAAAACTTTTGAAGGTGATGAGTGAATGAATTCTCTGAATGATGAAGCAAATGGTTGAATGGCCAATTGTGAAATAACTTGATCAAAGTGTTTCTACAAGAATTACGACAATTGTTTGCCATAATAATTTTTTTGTAGTGCTCCAAACCAAAAATAGTATTAATTTTGAAAGTTTTTTGGTCATGGTTTCCAGAATACTGAGAAAACCTGGAATCTCCAGAGTAATTTCCTAGAATCTCCAATAAGTAAGTATTTGTGCAGCAAAAATATGCAAACAAATCTAGATTATGATCTATCTTAGAATTTTTGATACTTATGTAAATAAATAGTAGAATTCAAAGTAAATAATTCCATGATCTTTTATAATTATCTCTTACAAACATTTCATTGTTCTATAGTTAAAATTTAACTTATGTTAAATTAATTCCTAGATTTACATGTCGAAAGAAAAAAGTATTTTCTTATGAATAATTGCTGTGGAAAGTTTGTTCAATGAAAATGTTGTCTTTGAAAATCTGAGATTTTTTTCTTCTGAATAGATATGATAATATGATAGATAATTAAGAATGCCTGTTTTTGAGCTTTGAAATGGATACCAATGTATGTTGCAAATTGTCTGATTGTGTATTTTCTGAAAATTTATCCAATTTTTTAGGCAATGGTAATTTTTTTCATACTAATGGTGATGCAATGGAAGTGTCTGAAGATAGATATCGTGAAATGCTGCAAAACCATAAAGAAAAAGCAGTCTTGGAGCCAGTGAGTATTTTGTTAAAATTATTGTCAAAGCTGTAACTAAAAGATGAAATAAGGGTTCATATGGGTTTCAAAAAGTCCTGTGGAATTTCATAATTAAACTGTTTAAAACTGTTTTTAAGCCCTTAAAAACAACTTGGTTTTTATTTTTAGTTCTTAATTTTATCTTGCAAACTTTCAGGCTAATAAAATATTCTTATTTTTGGTATCCTACAGACATTCCTATTTTTATCCTTTTACATCATAATTTTAGCATTCATGTTTTTGCACCTTATGCATTTACTTACAAAATCTCTTTTAATTTAAACTTATGCTACAAAATACAATTATACATTTTCCGAAAAGAAAGGATGAAAATTACATTTGTGAATAGTTTTTTTCCTTCCTATTTATTATTGTGGGGTGTTATAAAAACACAAATAAGTTGTGCATCAATGTATGTACTACAATTATTTATTATTGCCAATTAGAATACTGATAAGTTTCGTTTCGTTTAATAACTTAATCTTTAAATGTTAACTAGATGTTTTATTTACCAAGTATCTCACAGCTCTTTTAAAAAATTTTTGTCTACTCGGGAAAGTACTATTTCATATCATAGCGTAGACACTTTCCACAAAAGAGTTTTTGTTTGTTTTATTAGGTGGTCATCTTACAAAAAATTTATATCTGCATTAAATATTACCTCTTTCCAAATTTGATTTATTTCAGCGTTCAAAATACAAGATAGGCATGTGGTCAGGTTATGAGGATTGAGCAAAAAATTCTAATCATCTACTTTTGACTGTTTTTTATTTATAAAGGAAAATGCATTTGGATAATTGAGAATCAGATTAGTGCAATTTAATTAATATACCATTTAGTTAATCTGTCATATCATGCTGCCGGAAAACCAGCTAACTTTCTGAACATTATAATTAAATTTTTATTCTTTGTGCAGTTTTTGATCTTTACTGTTAGTTACTGTTTCATATTGAAGAAAATTATTCTTATCAAATAATGAATGATATTGCCATGGGAAAACTATGAACTAAATTATTTAAAAACTTAGCAGTTCAAACACATTTAACTTAAATTTTGAATTAAAAAAGCACCTTTCACTGACTCTGGTTTATGAAAGAAACAGGATTAAAGTTCTACGTAATTAACTTAAAATTGTTCTTGGTTCATTTTAATTGATGGTTCTTATTTTAGAGCAAAATTTGTATTGAAAGCAACTATTTAGAATATATATATTTTTTTATTTCTATAGGGCATGCAATTGTATTGAAATGATCCTATTCTTTTCTTTTGACAGGAGTTCGAAAATAAATAAAATTCATAATTTATTTATATTAAAATTTATTGATTTGTATCCAAAATTATTACTATAATTTTAATTTCTGAAATTTATGTTAATATCTTATTATAATATAAAATTTTAACCGAAAAATTTTTGTTTTCTATAATTATAGAAACGCCCAGAACTTTCTACATCTTTCATTGACATAAAAAGTGTTAGTTCTAGGTGCAACTTCCCTAAACGAGCTTCAGTTAAATCAAGTAAGATTTTCTTAGTCTATTAAAATACTATCTTGTCGTCATTGAAATATTTTCTGAAATAAGTAACATAATTAATTGATTTAAATGCTTTTATCATTTTTTACTTTTCATGTCTATAAATTGAAATTGAATTTCTAAGTTATGAAAAATACATGTTATTATTAGTGTACCCAAAATCAAAATATTTTATCTTAGAAATCCTGATGTTAAAACTGATATTGTCTGAGTCTAAGGTATAAAGAGTAAAATTAAAAAATATAATGGCTGTTTTATATTAATCTATTTTACTAATGGAAATAAAGACATTTCTGTTTGAATGCTTTGAATTCAAATATAATAGTTTAAAGTTTTAAATCATACTATCTTGTAAAGAATCAATTAAACTTCAAAATAAACAAAAAAAAATTTAAAAAAATTTTTCTTTTTTAAATTTAATTGTTAATTTTTTCATTTCGATGAAAATTATTTAGAAATCAATGAATAATTTTTTATTATTGCATATTCTTATGGATTCAAACAATGTAAATGCTCTGTATTTCTAAAAAAACTATCTTTTCTTCATACTGATTGAAATTTTATGTTTGTATCATATTCAACATACAGATTTCTATATCTTATCTCTCTCTCTCTATATATATATAAAAGCGCAAGTCTGTCGGGATTTATGTTAGCCAATTAATCGAGAGCAGGAACACAAATTTTAATCCTGTTTTTCTCAGCAGTTTTCGAAGAGTGGTTTGTAAACAATTATCTCTTTCTAGTGTTAAGTGGTCTGGTAAAATATCAAAAATTCGCAATTTTATCGATAAAAACCATTGTTATAGATTAAAACATGCACGGTCACTGTAACATTTTTGCCAAATATTAAAAAAAAATAACTGATCAAAATCACTAGAAAAAATTTAATATCCTTAAAACTCACTAAATTCAGGTTGAATTTAAGTGCAGAAGTGAAGCATACTAGAAACAAATATGCATGCTAATGTAAGTTATTGAAAATTGAAGAAATATTACACTTCACCTTCAGGGCAAATGTTACACATAGATTAAGCTATTCTTATTCATCCAAACTGCATGCCAGTTTCAAGGCTTTTAAGTTTATTAATTTCAAATGCTAAAACATTTTAATGACAACTATTAATAATTAATTGTTCACATCTTATTTGATCTCAAATATTTAATTCCTAAACTTTATATTATTGTCCTTTAAATGAAAATATCAAAAACCAGCACATATCTGTACCGTTGCTTCGCAGAGATAGGCTGCCCTGGGAAATCCGCTGCATCTGCAAAATTTAACCAAATTGGTGCCAAAAAATTTAATCATTAAAATAAATGGAAAGGAGTCGATTCTCGGGGCATAATGCTGCAATATTTGAAATTAACATATAGGAAGCATAAAGGTGCTTTTTTTTCCAGACTATTGATCCTTGACTCCTTGTGCTGCCAAAAACTGGTTTCGATTAAAGACTCGTGTGGAAAAGAAATTATCTACTAAACTTCTTTTAATTCGCACCGACCTTACGAAAGAACTTCAACCCCTCCACCTAACTGTCGAATGGGCTTTCAAACAAGAAATCTGGCGGTTGTAGGAGCACTAGATTTAGCACGGCAATTACTCATACGCTAAATCTGGACGCATACAGCTGACACCATATGAAGAGGTCACTGCATGGTTGTCAGATGGGTATTGGCCTTCTTTTTCCCGACGACAATCAATAGATAAATAGCAAAGTGATTTACACAGTGGCTGAACTGAAAAAACAAAGCTCTTACAGAAATAAATATTTATTCAACAGCCGTGAAACATGAATTAATTTACTAATGATTAAGCGAATAATGTAACATATTAATAGCTCATAACTAGGGCTGCAGGTCTGTCGCGGCGCGAATTTCGTATAGATTGTCCTCTTTTTTCTTTCTAAAATCCACAAATTTCTCAATATGTTTTAATTTATGCGAAAATTGCTTAAAATTTGAATTTTTTTTTTCATTTTTAATTTATTATTTTTATTTAATAGAATTTCTTACTTTACCGAAGCCTTAAATTGAACATGTAAAATTGATTAGATATTTAAGGAGTGAAGCAAAATGACAAGAAAATTGTTCAGAGATAAGAGATAATCACAATCTTGTCACATAAGGTGGTCTTTCTACACTTCGGGAGGGTAATAGACTGATAGGATTACCTTCCTGAAGTCAGTAAGAGTACAAAAGAAATTTGAATTACAAAATAATTAAAATGTTATAATTAAAATCTTTGACAGAAAAGTTGTAACACAGGCTATTGCTCTGGGCAATGAAATTTCTACTGCCTTTCTACATCTGCCGACAATTTTTCCTGGGCAGCTTCTTGTGATTTCTTAAATAGGGATCAGTTTCTTAGATGAGAGGGAGATAAGGCTTTTGTATCTAGTAGTTTGAATGTAGAATGCTTGAGTTTTCACAGCAATTACTTCTTACAAAGCAATGGTCAAGGAATTAATTGTGCGTTGATAGAGGAAAATGTATCGAGTTTTGGAAATCAAAGACTGAACGCTATCCAAAACTGGCAATTTGATGTTTGTCGGTGCCTACAAACAGCGTGTGGAAGCGGAAAGATCGTTTTTTAAGTATAAAAATGTATTAAGCGATGAAAGACGAAGCATAAATGAGAATAATCTGACAATGTACAATACTTTGTACAAAAATTCTGTTCATTTAAATAAAAATATTAATATTGCTTGAAATTAAAGGAAATACTTTTGTTGTGCATTTTTTTAAGCTTTTTTATTATTTCCGCAATTTCTGTCTTTTGCATCATTTATATAGTAAATTTTTTTATGTTTAGAATTTGGGTAATTTTCAATATTTTTCGTGAATTTCGGGTCTTTTTTCCCGCGACGAACTTGCAGCCCTACTCATAACCCATTCCCGTGCTGGAGCATGGACTCAACTTTCGGAAGAATCTTATGTAATTGTAGCTTTAACAAACAAAGGGCGAAAGAGAACATTTTGGTTAAGTCTCGGGTCTTTTAAAGATTGAGATTAGGTGTCATTGACTAATTACAAGCTACTAAGCATCTTACATATATTATTGTACAAGTAATTGAAGAAAAATTGGTAGTGCTGGAAGATGCTCAGCTTCGTCACTTCAAAATTTTTATTTGCTTAAATTTAGATAAGAACATGCAACTTTTGTGCAGATTATGATTTTTTATTTAATTATGATTTTTTTACTTGATTTGAATCAAAAGATTTTACTAACAATTCTAAAATAGTAAGTATTTAGTAGGTTGAACTCTTGAATAATATCATGGAAAAAAAACTTTATTAATTAAATTTTCCCATTATAAAAGTTTTAAAAGTGAATTGGAGGTCATACACTTATTTACCATTTTTAGAAGTTGAAAACAAATCTCATATGATTAATTGTTTCAAAGTTTTTGAAGTAATCACTTTGTAACAAAAAAAGTACTTTGTAACTTTTTAAAAAAAAATATGAGTTTAATTAAAAATTTATTAATCATAAAACTTTTGAAATTGCAATTAATAAAAAAAAAATTTTAGGTTCTGAATGTTAATATTAAACTCATTATAATTTTAAATAGAATATGAAACTTTCAAATTTTTTTAGTAAGAAATGATTACAATTTAGAGTTCTATAAGTAATGTCATTTTAAATCTATTAATAGCTGTGTCAGTAGACTTAGACTGAAATTGCTCAATGTGTTTATAAAAATATTAATAAATTCAATTTATATTTTATTTACTATAATTCCTGATAATTTCTATTTATTTAATTCTTAAATTTGGAAAGCATGTTTTGGAAATCTTATGTTATCCTGTGAAAAGCAAAGCATTTTCAAAACTGTTTGAGCATGCCTGAAAAGTTTATTTGTAATTCTAAATCACAAAGTTTGTGCCTGAAGATTGTGTTCCACCAACTATAAAATTATTGCTCTGTCAAAGCTTTTTATCTTGCTGAATTTGTGGTTTCTCTGATTTGTTGAAATCAGACTTAAATAATTTCAATACATTTTGATCCAAATATGAAATAATTTTTTCCATTTCGTCATTTTCATCCTCATAATCGGTTAAAAAGTCAATGATATTTTTTTATGGGTGCATTTTTCATACAATTAGGCAATATTGCAGCTTTGCAAAAAGCATTTGTCCCAGTCTTGGTTGTTACCCCATACCACAGCTTTACTATCTAGTCATGAGTCGTCCGATGAACTTTTACCATATTTGTGTAAATATGTTGAGGGCTGGATATACAGTCTTCCCACAAGGTTCAGACTTGAGTTTTAAATGATCTATTTATTCCAATGTCCAGGGGTTGCAGTTTTTTGTCAACCCTCCTGGAATGATGAATAGTTTTGCTGAAAAAGTTTTACAAATTTTGTTCATTGTGTCTATTAAGTGAGTCCGCATTGAGTCCATGATTAACTATCCTTTGGAATTAGAGAAGGAGCCACAATGTCATGACATTGTGGTTTATTCACCCTTTTTTTCCCATCTCAACCTTGATTTATTTGGGAAAATTGTATTCCATCTAAAAATAACAAAGAGAGCAAGCTTTTCCCTTGCTGCAGAGCTTGCCAAGACTATAGTGAAAGCTGTGTTCACATTCCCATCATCGTAACAGCAATGTTTGGGGGCAATCAAAACCTAAAGGTACCTCATCCATGTTTATAATATCTTTTTCCGTAGACCTATTTTCTGCTATCACAATTCGTGTGAAATTAATAAATTCCACACATTTTTATTACCAATCCTAGGGTAAACATTGCCCAATATGTTGCTAAAAGTCGGGGCTTTAAGCATGATCCATACTGTTTAAGTCAATATTCCCTTCTCTATTTTGCTGAGGATCCAGTGATTTAATTCCGATTCCAATTCGAGTAACACAGGTTGGTCTCTCCTCTTAAAACGTCTCCATTTATCTTTAAGTAAAAACTTCTCCAAAGATCTATAATGTTAAAATATCTTCAGCTGCCCGGTTTCGTTCATTTTTGCTTTTTTGATAACTTTAAATTTAAACTCTGAAGTGTAACTAATAGATTTTTTTCTGGACATTTTGATCAATACACAGAAAATTCAGCTCTACTAAACTTGTGACAAGAATGAAATTGAACATTTCGCATATGTTGTTCTAAGTCAGTGGGGGGGGGGGAGAGAATTGTTAGGTGGCTTATTTCTCTGTAACATGACGTTACAATGAAAATGAAAAAATTTTACACAAGTTCTGAAAGAAAGGAATTCTGTTGCAGAGAGAAAGGTAGCACAGCCGCTTAAAAAATTGAAAGTGAAAAAAAAGCTTTAGAAAAACATTCTTTTAATTTGGAATTCGTAACTTTTGTTTTATAATGAAGTGTTTGAGTGATTTGGGTAAGGATTTTTTAAATAAACTAAATTAAAACGTAATAAAATACAATCCTTAGATATTTATTTTTTCTTATGCTAATAAGATAAAAAGATTTTATTTCTCCTTAATTGTCTGCCAGTCCTTTATTTTTATGGTTTTCTATTTCTTTATTTTTTATTGCACTTAACATTTTCTTCTTAAAACAATATATTTTTAAACATTTTAGATGCTTTAAAAATTTAATTACTTTTTTAATTACGATCATATTAGAAGGCAGAGATTGTATTCGTTAGAGAACGGCCATTTTCACGGCTTGCGTTGAAAGAAAAAGGAGAAACCCGATTTATGAGTTTATCACAGTAAATTAAATTTCATTAATTAGGTTCTCATTTTCTCTTGGTGGTGATCCGATGTGCGTAAATTGCATGCAGTGAGACTTATTAATTAATGTGTGGGGAATATGTTATCAACAATGTCAACCTGTCATCTATCAAAAGATACCTCAAGATAGAATCCAGTTAACATGTCTTATATACTAGTGAATGGGAATTTAATAATTGTAGTGGTAGTTTTGCTATATTACTCCTCCACCAGAATTTTATTTTTGAGAGAATTTGATGAACAGTTTCCATTAGTTGATTCATTTCTGTACTGCAAGAGGTCATGAGAAATGTATTACGATCATTGGGCTTTGCGTGTTGGTCACGAGGGTGTGGTCATTCTTGTGTTGCAATTAGTAGTCAAGTGTACACAACATGAGTGTAATAACAGGCCAACTGTTCACTGTGTTCCATCCATTCAAACAAGACATGTTCATATTGAGCTGGCCGTTTCTGTTGAGTTCGGTGTATTCAGATCACATCTGAAGGTCACCAATGTGAGAAATATGTTATCAACAATGTCAACTGTCATCTATCAAAAGGTACCTCAAGATGGAATCCAGTTACTATGTCTTATATACTAGGGAATGGAAATTTAATAATCATAGTGGTAGTTACACTACAAATGCAATCTCCTTAAAAAGGGAAATACAGTACAGAACCCGTCATCCGGAAATCAGAAAACCGGAAAACCAAAAAACCGGAACGAAATTCGATAAATTTTCCCGCCATTTTCAAAAAAAAATTTTTTTTTTTTTCCTCATAGGATTTTAGGATTTTTCTTTCTATTTTGAAAGATGTTTACCTTACCATCATTTTGGAAATAATCATTAGTGTATTACTTCATCGTTTTTTCTTCTTTTTAAGATTATTTGAAATTTTTTTTTTTAGTTGGGTTTAACAGTAAAAAAAATGGCTTTTTGTAGCGATTCAGAAAACCGGAAAAATCAGTTATCCGGAATAGCGATGGTCCCGATCGTTCCGGATAATCGGTTCCCTACTGTATCTTGAAAAGCTCTTCTCAGCCCTCATATCTATCAAAAATGAGGGGAAATTTTTTAAAAAAATGCAAAACACGATTATGATGCCATCTATACAGAGAAAATTAGCATTAAAAGTTTTTGGTCAGGGAAAAATTGCTGAGCATTAGACACAATGACTCATGATATGGACTCATATATATGACTCATATATATATTATTAAGAAACTTATTGTAAAATGTCTTAACTTGTAAGTAAAATCCTAAATCAAAACGAATTTTGTTTTACTTACTTCTTTTTAATTATATTCTTAACAAAAACTAACTTAATCATCTATTCTAATATCTGATATTAAATAGTTTTAATTATAAATGGTCCTCTTTCACTAATTCTTCCTTTTCAAATTCTTTTTCTATGGCTAGAATGAGCCCTGTAATTGTAATAAGATTCGTTCAATTTTCTGCTGTTCAAATTTCTAATATATTTTTCACATTTGATACTATTTTGAATTATCAAAATTTCAATGTAATTGTATTTACAGCTGATGGTGCCGGAAAGAAAAAAGCCAAAACCTCTGATGCTTCTGATAAATCTGGTACAATTGGAATTCCTGAATCAATAGAATCTTCAGTGCCTTTAATAAATATTGTTATCAAAGAAGAACATAATACAAACTCAAGTTCATCAGATCCTAACATTGACTCCAATCCTCCAGCTGTTCAGGAGACTGAAGTTCAGACTGATCCTTTAACACTGTTAGATGAAGGGGATGATTCAGAAATATGTGAAAATCCCACAGCTAAGTATGATGAGTTCCTTATTTTTATAAATTGTTTCACTTAATTAAGTTTATGATATATTTTTTACTATATTTGTAACATGTAGCTATTAGTGTTGTTAATTTTTAAAGAAAATATTTAAATCAGATTTTTTTTATTATTCAAAGTCAGATTTTTATATTTTGATTTTTTTGAAAAACTATATATTTAAATAAATAAAATTACTAATGCACTGATAGAGTACAAAATAAGTATGTGTATAAATTATGTGGGAATTGTTATTTAGAAGTTTCATTAACAATACTAGTTTTGAGATTTTTTTCACTCTCAGTTCATTTTGCAATTTAGAATGTACTACACCAAATGTTGGAAGAACTGGCAAAGCAGGTTTTTCAAAGCTGGCTGTTGTAAGCATTTTAAAAAGCTTCATATTTCTATCTTTGATTTCTTTTTCTTTTTTCTTTAAACCAGACACATAGCAAAAACTGTTCCTCCATTTAAAGAAAATGCTGTTATATATTGGTGGAAATAAACCTTTTTAGTTTTTTTTTTTTTTTTTTTAATATCTAATTGCACACGNAAACCTTTTTTTTTTTTTTTTTTTTTTTTGAATTTTTTTTTTTTTTTTATGTATCGCACGTGTAATCACAATTGAAGAACTAGCATTTAGTGTTTTCTGCAAAGAAGCAAGACTTTTTCAGACTTATTTGAAGAACAGTAGAAGTTCAGTTTAATTTAAGCTCATGTTCTATTATAGGAAATTCAAAATAACTTTTTCAGAAATTATCTCAAAGAAAAAATTTAGCTTTTTCAAATTTTTTGAAGAAGTAGAAAGAGATTGATGAACAGACTAATTTGGAAAACAATACCTGTGTAAATACTAATTTAAAGGAAACTGAATATTCTCTGTGTATTTGTCCTAACCCTTAGTAAAGAACGTTAAAGCTGTAGTTGAGAAACAGTAGAAAAATTCGAAACTGTTTTTCTTCCCAGCCCCACAAACAAAATGTAAATGCTTAAATTTGCAATAATGAGCAATACAATGTATTTTTAGGTAAATAATTGTATATATTGTATAGACAAGTTTTTTTATGTATGTTTTTAGACAAATAAGTTAGTTTTGAATTACATTTGCTCAAGTGATGTTTTATCCTGTGCAGTAAGTTATTATTGAGTATTTATGGGATGTTAAAATTTTATTGTTTCATTTTATTCGTATTACAATATCACATAGCTGCCAACTCAGCAGGATATTGTTAATTTACATTAGTTTCTTCTCCTTGTTTTTGCATTCCTGAAATCTTCTTAAAAAAAGTAAACACTTGAAAAAGTTACTATTGAAAAAAATTTAATCTCAGATTTTATTTAAGAATTTAAGTAAGCAATGTTACTAAAAGAATTTATCTTTTGCTTTGTTAATAATTTTATCAATTGAAAAGTTTCTAATTATTTTGAAAATAATGCTATGAAAAAGGAAAATTTTTATGTTATGAAATCTTTAACCTGTATGTTATTCAAGAAACACTTAAAACTATTTAAAGTGAATTTAATATCTATTGCTAAAGAAACTCTTGAATTAAAGCACATAATTAATATAATAATAAAAATTTATACTTAAAGTCTATTAAATTTTTTAATCAGTTTGCATAAAATTTTTATTATTTTGTAAAATTTGCCTTATTTTTGCTCTTTCAATGTTTGCAACCATATTGTAGTACTGTAATTTCTGGTATTTTAATCACAGATTTTGTGTCAAAAAAGTGATTCTTAAAGCGTATGGATTATAAACTGGTCTGGATAATCCATTGGAATTTTTTAAATGACATAATTGACCAGATTTGTTTTTATTGCTGCTAGATGGTGCCAAATCGAATTCATGTTTGGAAATGTTGACATGGAAAGAAAGTTTAAAAGTTTGCAAAATTTGCATTTATTAAGTTAGAGACTATTTGAGAAAAAAGATTTAACAAACTGGGATGAGTCTGGGAAAAATAAAAAAGATGAAAATAAAAATGTTATTTGAGAAACACATTTTAAATAATTAAAAAAAATCCCTGAAATTTGACCAAGAAAAAAGTGTGTGTAGAAAGCATATGCATCTCTTATTCAAAATATTAGAATAATTAAAAAATTCAACATTAAAAAGCATTTTGTTTTATTTATATGTTTTTTTACATCATTAAATTAAATTCGAAATTGAATGAGTCAAATCTACATATTTCACAGCTTTTTTAAGCATTTAAAAAATCAATATGAAACATGAATTATTTTGAAAATTTATTTTTTGTAAAAAGAAATCAAAATATAAGAATGAAATTTTATGTGGTCCAAATGACGGAGAAAATATGAATGGTGAAAAAAAATTACTTAATATTTTGCATCATTGAATTAGATTTGATCACTACATATAAACGATCTTGCATGGAATAAATAAGCCTTTTTTTTGTCCACATTAACTGAAATAAACTAAATGCTCTTCTCTAACTTAGCTTTGTAGGAGTAACTCCTTTTTGCATTGCTCCAGCCTGATCCTGGTTTATTCTGATATGTGATATGAAGAATTTTTTTTTTAACTAAAACCATCTGCAAATATGTCTTCGGACTATGAAATCACGTAGTACTTGAGAATATCTTCATAAATATCTGAATTAACTTTTTTTTGAGTATGAATTTGTTTTGAACCCTTCCAGGTCCATTTGTGCTAATGTAACTCCGTACCATCACCACTAGCTGCAAATTACCGAATATTTTAAGCACTATTTATTAAATGTTTCATGCACTGTGTATTATTGTTTCATGCTACAAACTCAAATTCTTTGATTATCATAAGACACACAGAATGTACTTTTGTCACTAAATATCTTGCCACCGTTGCCAGCCGTTGAGGATTGTAAAGAAAAAACTTCAAGAAGTTGCTCCTGTGTACAAAACTGAGCTAATGGATAGCATTAAGTGTACTTGGGATAATGTGGACAAAAAAAAAGCTTGCTTATTCCATTGAAGATCATTTATATGCAGTGATCAAAGTTAAGAGCGATGCTGCAGAATATTAAGTAACTTTTTTCTCCATTTATAAATAAATAGTGTAACATTTTAAAATATTATTTAGATTATATTCTCCTCGACCTGAAGTAACTCAATATCCAACCTGTTTCTTTGCACTTTTGCGAGACATATTTTGTGAGTCAAGTGAACAAAAACTCTCAGCTGTTAAGGTAAGTAGCATTAAGCTAAGTGTTTTGCTTTTAGTAGTACTCAGAATTGTAAATTATCATCTTAAGCTATGTTTTGTGTCAACTCAATGCTCATTGGGAAACTATGCATTACATGTTAAATAATCAGTTTTAAATTGCATTGAGTCTTCAAATATTAGACTCACCATAAATTATTGCAAGATTCTTAAAACTCTATTTCTAAAATAATATTGATAAGAGGTTTATAAAACTAAAAAGTTGAAAAAAGTTAAAATGCAATTTACTGTAGGGATGTATTGGATACCCAGCAATAACATGGTACCAGCCAGATATTCATTAGTGTAGAAATGGTTGGAAAAAAATAATCAACGGAAAAACCACGTCAATAGATGCCGAGGAAATTGTCCCGAGTCAAAAGTATAAGGAAGAGAAAACGTAAATTCTAAATTCGCTTGTCGAAATTTGAAAAATCATGTGGAATGGCTGAAAACTGATTGGGGATTTGTGAAGGAATCGCTGCAAACAGAGCACATCTTAAAGTGTTAAATTACATTTTAAATTTGTGTGATCTAACTAAATTGTGTTAAAAACATTGAAATTTTAAAAGAAAAATAAAGGCAGCTGCCAAAGAAATTATTGCAAATCGACATGGACTTTTGAAAAAAACTTAATGAATTTTGTTTGTCAAAAAGTTATTACTCAATTTCGCGTATTGTCAGATCCAAAATTCTTAAGTCGTAATAATATTGCATTGAAAATATCAAAATTTCAGAAAACATGTGTAAATGGCCAAAAAAACTTTCGATAGTTACAAAAGAAAAACTGAAAAACAATACAGATTTACGATCGAATTGACACAAATCAAGCAGGTCAAAAAGCTATAGAAAATTTGTTTGAAATTTGTGTTCTACAGTAACACTGAACTAAAAATATGAAAATTCGAAAAACAATTCAGAATTGGTTAAAAAACGATCGTGAACCTCATGGATTTTCAAGGAAATGAGCAGAAGTAGACTTTTTTAATTAACTTCTTTCTCTCCTATAAGAGGAGCAGAGTGGAGGAAACTAAACTTTTTCAAATTTGTTGAAGAAGCAGAAAGTTATTTGAGTACAGACTAATTTTAAAAACAATACGAGTGTAAGTACTAAATTAAATGAAACTGAATGTTCTGTGTGTTTCTTCAAATCCGCATTCAGAAATGATTAAATTGTAACTGAGAAACAAAAGAAAAATTGCACTCTTATTTTTTTTAGTCTCACAACAAGATATAAAAGCTTAAATTTGCATTAATGAGTAATGCAATGTATTTATAAGTAAATAATTATATAGATTTTCTTTTTTTTGGTGTGCAAGAGAAAAAATTTATTCTGAGCTGATAATTTTTTGTCTTCTCATAACATGTTTTTATAATGAGAAAAGCTAAAGAAGAGATTATAATTTAAGCTTTCCGAATATTTTAAATCTATATTTAAACTCAGTTGAGTTTTTACTGCCAAATTGCCCCGTGCAGTAAGTCAGCATAGAAAAATAAGAATTCCAAATTCCTAACTTGAAAATTTTTTAACACTATATGATTCTTGTATCTAGTTGAATAATGTATAATGCTTCAGAAAAGCATATACATTATTATACATTATTCAATTAGAACTTTTCACTCACTGAAACAATATATCTGGTTAATGGTTCATCAAAAAAAAAATTTTTTTTTATATATATATATTTAACTAGTTATATAAATAATGTATTCAATAACATTTATGTGATTTGAATAATTTTTATTACAAAAAATTGAAAGCAAAATGCTATGAAGAAATAATCATAAAAGTTTTTTTTTTGGGTCAGAAAATTTTTGTTTTTCCTGAGACACCTGGTCTCAAGACTCGGTTCTAGGTATCAAGTGACGGGTAACACTCATTTATGTTTGCCACAACTATATCACATTTATAGTAATTTTTGAATTATTCATAAAAATAATTGTAATTTTGGAAATCTATGTTTTCTGCCATTTTCTTAATAATCAAGCTGAAATGACTGGTGTTCAGGCACAGAGTATTTTACTCACTCGTAGAATTTTAATTCTGGGAAACCTTGGTAGAGTAAACACTCACTTGATTTATTAAGATGGAGAAAATTTTTTCATCAAATTTTTTCCAACACCCCCTAAAAAGGTGCAATTTGCTATAAAACTAATATTTGGAAAGATTTTTAAAAAAAAAACATTCTAGGCCCTGCCACTGACCATCACAATTTGAAGACAAGATTTCAGAAACAAGATTTTTTTCAATAAATTGCATATTTTTTGCTGTAAAATGGAGGGTTGTAGTAACTGGACTCATTTTATAGATATTGCTTTTAACTTAGACTTTTATAAAATTGCACCTATTTGTAAAGCAAGTAGACTGAAAAATATAAGCATTTTATGATATTCTTCTCAATGAAATCTATTTTTTAAAGAGTGTTGAAAAAAATTTGTATGTTTTGTTAACTATCGTAAAATGGCTCAAGTGAAATAGTTACTAATGATTTTGTAACTATATCTTCAAAAAGTATAAGAGATTAACAAAAAGAAGTAAGTAAAATCAAATTAATGAACTTTTGTAGTTAGATTTTTAAAAACCCTAACACATGGATTCAGTATGATTAAGAAAATCAAAAATTATTGATATAAATGAAATAAATTTTTGTGATTTACTAATAATCCTTTTTTTGTTTCAAAAATAATCTTTCATTGTTTCCACGGGAAGACAAAGTTTAGTAATAAAAATTTTTGTAGATGTGACTTTAAAGAAAGGGTGACATTATTGTTTAGTGTCGTCTTGTTTTGCCTAATTGGTGAATATCTTCTTCCTGTGAAAGATCTTAAATAATAATAATTTATAAAAAATTGAAATTACTATTTTTTCTAAACACTAAACTCAGTGTCACGACAGCCCTAGAGGGCCAAGGCCTACTGTGCCCATCTCAGTTTTCTTGACCTTGGGCTCTGGGGTGCAGGAGCAGATGTTCCGGTCAGGTGGTCAGCCGAGCGCGGAACCCCCAGTGTTTAGTTCCCAAGCATGCTTTTTACTCATTTATCGACTCACTGAAGGGATGAAAGGCTGAGTCAACCTTGCCCGGCCCGAGGATCGAACCAGGGACATGTGGCACGACAGCGCAAAGCGCTACCGCTCAGCCACGGAGTCTATTTTTTCCAAAACCGTACAATTTACCCAAAAATGCAAAATTGCAATTTAAAAGTTTTATCATCATTGTTTAAAGATATTCGTGCTAGAATTTCTTTTAAAAAATGATAGCAAAGTTTAAAGTGAGACTTTATCTCTTTTAGTTTCCATTTCACATTACATCCATTTAGATTCAACAAGTAAAAGAACTAACAGTATAAACCATTTTTGTGAAAATACCATAAAATAGTCTATTGCTATAAAATCTCTAAATTCAGTTTCTTTATAACTTTATTTTACTTTATTAAACGTAACCTCCACTGTGCTCAAACAATGTAATTTTTGAAAAAAAAATTTATAAATTTTTCAAGAATGATAAATTCTTTGCTTTTTACCGATATATCTTTTTTTTAAAAATTAATAAATTTTGTCAATTAAATAAAAAATTACACCAGAAAATCTTTGCAAAACCACCTGGATTCTATAAAAGGAGAAGACCAAGAATCCAGTGGATTGACTGTCTAGAAAAAGATTTAAGAGTTCTCAAAAACTGCAAGAGTCTATCCAAGAAGTTGCTTCTGAGGAAGGCCATGGCCCACCCTAGTCTAATGCACCTTTAAAAAAGAAGATACAACTATGCAATTGTTTGTGTTTTATATCATCAATTTATTTATTTTGAATGGTCAATAGCATTTTATTTAATTTACATGTTCTGATACATTTGCTATGAGAGATTTTCTATCAAGAAAAATACACTTTATTATCTATTCTAATATTAATTTCTCTATTTATCTTCTGTTTGAGACTTGAATTTCATTATTAATATTTTAGATTATCACTTTTTCGTGCATTTTTTTAAATCTAAATTATAGTTTCAACAAATACTTGAATTCTTAATTATACATATCTTTAATTTTTATAACCATGCCTGATTGTTTGAAAAAGTTTATTTAGAATTACTTTTTAACCTTATGCATAACTTTTTGCTATTAAGTGTCTTATTGCTTTTATAAAAACAGCTTGAAGAAAAGGTTAAAAATTGGCAAGGAGGACCAACTGCTTCGTTATTTGAATGGATGAGTTTTCAGGAATCTTGGTCAGATCTTGTTTCATCTGCATTAAAATTTCTTGCTGGAGATTTAATAAGTAATTATAGCTTATAGCAATATAGTTTTCTATTTAGTATAGAAAAATTGTAACAACTATTGTAATATAACTGCATTTAAAAAAACATGATTATAGATTTATTTTTAAAAAATTTAATAATTTTTGTCACACTTACTAATTAATTTGCTTTGTATACATTTAGGTATTTTACCAGAAACGTTTATACCTTTCTTGGATTACAAAGAGAAACAGCAACAATGGCAATGGATAGGTTCTGGTCGTGACTCTGATGAACAAATGTTTGGTTTATGCCAGCAGTGGTTAGATGGTAAAGATGATATTTCTCTTGATATGTTAGAAACCTCACAAGGGTCCCCACCCCCACCAAGAGTGTAAGTATAAAAACTAAATACAGTAGAGTCTCGATTGTTCGAGTTTCCTATATTCACGAAGGCTTGACTATGAAATTAATTTATATTATTTAGAACTACTGGTTGGACTGTCAGACCTACAGCTGAAAATGAAAAGCAAGCATATCGCCAACAGGTTAGTCTCACTTCTGTTTAATACTAAATGTAATATTTATTATATTGTGGTCCTTAAAGGAATAGTCATAAATATTTAGGCAAAACAAAAATTATCTATATTCAAAAAAATATTGAGTTTTTTGTTTTCGGTATTGGGATTTTTTATTGTCAAATGTTATACTATTTTAATTTTACTTTTTGACTTTATAAAAACAGTTCAATCGTGGGAAATAATTTCAAATCAACTATACTATTTATCCCTTAACTGATTTGACTCTTAAACAAATTACATTAAGTACATTATATCCATTAGAAAGGAGGGGTGATGAAACCAGTCTTTTGTGTTGGAAGAAAAATGGTTGTATCCTGATTTGTGTTCAGAGCTTACTGTTAAGGTTAATATATTGAATCTGTCATAGTGAGTAATCTAAGGAAAATTTTCTTAGATTTACTTATACTATTTTATTAATTTTATTTGAAACTATGGTTTAATTTTAATTTGGATATTGAAATAATTGTTTAGTACTTTTTTTTAATATTAACCCCAGTTATTAGAGCTAATATTAATTCTGTTTTTTCATATTAACCGTGATAATCTACCAACCTACCTATTTTAGATTTCAACCTATTTGATATAAAAACCAGCTTAATCTTTTTATAGAAAAACAGGCTTACCTTTGCTTTTTTTTCTATTTTTAGTTAGTTGCCTAATTTTTTATGTTGTTGGATTATATCAAAAAACAGCCTTCTATTACTTGGATGAAAGAACTGCCTCCAAGTCTGTTCAGGAGATGTTTTTTTTTTCTTGTCAAACTGCTTAAAATGAACTTGATTTTGAGTTGAAATATCTAAACAATCTATAATAATTTTGTTTTTAGACTCAATTATTTTTTCTCTTAAAAAAGCCAAATTTAATAATGGATTTATTTTAAAATACAATGTATTTCCAAAAATTATGCAGATAATGATGATTATACCTGCCAACTCTGCTGTTTTTTTTTTATAAGCTACTTCGTTATTTTGGATATTTCACCCAATTTTCTGTATCTAATTGATTTTTTTGCATTTCTTTTAATAAAGAATTTTTTTAAAAAAAAAAACTCTTTTATGTAATTTTCTTATAAATAATAAATTTTCTAAAAATATTTCAGTTTTTGTTCAACAATTCAATATCATCAACGCAACTGCACTTTTTTTAAAATTCAAAATAGGCTTAACAAACAGTGATGTTATAAGCAGCACTATCAGATTCCAAATCTCTAATAAGTCTGCTTCTGTGAATGGTTTAGAAATATTTGTTTTTTTCCTTTAAATAAGTGCAGAGAAAAAAAATGTTTTATTTTGTTGTGATTTCATCAATGGTGTATGCAATGTTGTCAATTTTTAATTATGGCATTTATTAACAAAAAGCTTTATTTTTACAAAAATAAACTTGGATATTCAAAAATTAATTTACAATATGCAAAGTCACAAAAGAAAATAATACTATGCTTTCTGCATTATACATGCTACAGATATAAATATTAATCACTGTAAAAAAGTAGAGATAGCTCAGTATTTGGAAACAAAAATGATAATATTACTGATAATTGCAAAAATAGAATAATGATTAACAAAATAATGATTTTACTGAGGAACACAATTTTCTAATGAACAGTGTCAACCATGTTATTCAGCTGCCCCAAAAAATGCTTCGAATTAATGAGATTGCAAAAAAAAAAAAAAAAAAGGAAAAAAAATGGTGTACCAGAATTAAAACTAAATCTGTGTGGTGGGTGTGAAAGAATAGTCCCAATGCAGCTCATGCATGTCATAAAAGGCGACTAAAATTGGTACTCAGTGTCTAGGCGTATAACCGGGCACCTTGCCCCTGGGAATTATATCAGGGGACTGGCCCTTCAGGTTGGGGGTTGGGCATAGGGTTGACACCTCTATCCTGTTAAAACTTCTTGTTACAAAATCCTTAGAAGAAAAATCCCAGATGACTTCATGAAAACGATTTGGAAAACGAAATTTGGATATGAGAATTGGAAGCTGGAACGTTCTGTCTCTCAATAGAGCCATGGTTTTGCAGTGTAAAAGAATTCAAATGAAAACTGCTTACATACATTATTAAATGCCCAATCATTTAAAGTTAATGATCTCCCGCAGATAAGAAGGAATTAGGTAGCCACTCTGAAATTGAAAAATAATTCAAATTCAAATAAACTGATGATTGAAAGATCGGGTAGTGGCGATGAGCCTAAATGGAAAGATTTGAGTGTCATTGATAAATTTAAAATGTATTGGAATTTATTCTGACATTCATAGTAATATTGAAAGTTACAAAAATTCATATTAACTTTCAAACAGTACTGAGTCTTTAACACTAGAACTACCAAATCCGTCAATTTGACAGTTTCAAAATTTTTCTCTAAAATTATAACTTATGTATTGTCTTAAGATTTTTTAATGCCTTTTAATGAATATTTTGGGTAGTTTAATTTTCCATTTAAAGTTTCAGCAGCTTCAAATTTCATTTTTTTTAATGATTTGTATGACCTATAAGTATTTATATCAAAACCCATCAAAATGATAATCTTAACAATTATAAAGTTTATAATATTGAATTGACAATCTTTTCAATTATGGATGTTCATAGATATTTATGTATTCATATATTTACATACATATGGGCAATTCCATTGTGTCAGGCAGATTAAATGGATTAAAATGTTAGTGCTGAACGTAAATCACACAAAATTAAAATATGATGATTTGATTATGCATCCTTTAAATTCTGTGAATTGGTTTGGAATTTAATTTTAAACTCAATTAAATTCTGAACTAAAGGAATTGAGACAGTTTTTAAAATATCTACTGCAACATATAACTAATTTTAAACTACTTTGTCTCAGTGTTGAATGTAAATAGTTCATTTTAAATGTAAATCAATAAATAGAATTATTAACCCTGAAACTTATTCTAATTTTTATTCTGATAATATTTGGAATTTTTTCAATTAAATACTTCCTTAAATGTAAAATGCTCTCTTTTTTTCTTATTGATTAGAACCTATAGATCATTGTGTTTTACTACATTTTCCACCTTGTAAAATATTTTATCTGCTACGAGAAGTTTTATACAATAAGATGTTTTTATTTTCTGTCTGGGCATTTGAAATCACCTTTTGAACAAAACATGATACTAGATAAATTTTGTAATAACCTATTTGTTTCACATATTAAAAATACACATACATTGAATTAGCAAAACTACTTGTCAGTAGGCAATACAAATGTTCCATGGCTTTGAATTTTCTGTGATGAAATTTATATTTTATTTATATGTATGTTAGGCTTTGGATATATTGCAAATTTAGTGTAAAATGTTGTAATACTTTTTTTTACATGTCATTGAACAATTTCACAGTACCTCCTATCCCATTGGCTTGGTTTTATTTTAAAATTTTGTTAAGGAAAGGAATGTTCCTATAAATTATAATTTTTAAATTTATTATTTCCAAAAAGTATTTATAAATTTTGAATTTATAACCAATGCTAAAAACAAAATTTGGTTCAGGTTAAATAAAATATAATCGCATTTAATAATTAATAATATCTTGAATGAGGAAATAAATACTAAATGCATCATAAGATAACAGGAAAAGCAAATATACACAATCAACTTCAAATCTAGTTAATTGTATTAAATATTTTGTGCTTTAAATAATTGGAAAAAAAATAAGGAGCAAAATTAGAGAGAAATTGTAAATGACTTATTTTAAGTGCATAATAAAAAATAAAAGAGTATTCAGTAGTAAAACAGAACATGAAATTAGCTTATTGAAGTGAAATATTCTTTTTAAAATTAAATTAAAGCCTATTTAGTTTCTTCTATGCTTATTTCACTTCATAAGTAAAAAGAAAGATAGGTGGAAATAAATTAAAAATATAAAAAAGAATGTTGGATGTAAACATTGCCGGTCATAAAAAGCATTAATTATTCATTTACAAAAGTAATATTCACTGTTTACAAAATTTAAATAGATGATACCAATGAGTTATAAAAACTTGCTTTAAACTGAAAAATTCATTTTTCTAGCTCTAATTTTATTTACTCCAAACAAATAATTATGCATTTTGGTGTCATATCTAAAATATCTGAAATGCCTTAAGACAATACTTTTAAAAATCAAAATGTACAGTTATTCTATATACTTATGTAACAGGTCCTATCTTTTTATACTATACTTCAATGATTATTTACTTCACTTCTCAATATTTATAAAAAAATCTGGATTTATTTGAAAGTCACTTAATGTGACTAAAAGTTTCAGATGATATTTCCTTTCATTCAGCAACCTATAACTAATTAGAAAATAAGTTTATCAAGTTAAGAGCCAATATTTCTAAATCTTCGACTTTTTACCTTTAAAACGACACCTTATTTGCTAAAAAATATTTATTTAAAATTTTTTGCTCATTTGGGTAATTTTACCATGGAATTACCCATTTATAGCATATAAAAATATAACTTTGTGATTCTCAGGAACTATTTGTCTGATTTTGCTTAAATTTTGTATTTTGACTTTTGCATTCTTTGAAATGATGTAAAAACTTGTCTATTAAAAAAATTATATTTAGCATGGAATTATCTTCGGCTAAATGAATTTTATAATTATGTACAAAAATTTTTCAATTTGCTTAATAAGTTCTCAAGGTATGGGGAAATATGCAAAAAGTAAAATTAACATTAAGGGTTCCTAACTTTGGACCACTTTCCTGACCAAACTATTCAGACCATATTTCCCAGATTTTGGCTACCCCCTATATATTGGGAGACAAGAATCCAACAAAAAAAACATGTTTATTCAGACGCGTGTTTTTGTATCTAATTTTGTAATTTAAAATATCGTCTGCACTATTTAATTAGCATATTTGAGGTCACCTCCACGAACCATTAAGATCGAATCCTACAATGTGAACCGATAATTTGATCAAAAGTTATTCAGGGTGGTCCAATTTTTGTGTGTGTGTGCTGTACATTCAAGCATAAATTTACGCATTTAACTAAATAAAAACAGAAAACATATGACAAGCAATGGAAAACTCATGTTTTAGTAATAATCTACAAAATATGACATAGCTGCGAAATTATGATCTTTAAACACTATTTTAATGTTAACTTTTTGTAAATAGGTTAAAATTTATTTTTATAGAATTACAGTCAATAGTTTTTGTCTACTTCTGATGACTGCTTAGTGTTTTTGCTGTTTCATACTAGTTTAAAATAAGATGCAAGCTTGATAAAGTTCTTAAATCACATTTCAAATTGAAGTAATTGGTAAAAACAAATTTATATAACTTTCCTTGGTGGAGTAAAATTGCTATACATAAATCCTAATATATGAAGTTCAGTAGCTGACAACATGCATTGAAATTTAATTTATTATGCCCAAGTACCAATTGGGGGATAGTATTTGATTAAAATATCTAATAAAGAATTACATAATAATGACGTAACACATATGAAAAAAAAGCAGTTCTACTTGAATAGATAAAACGATTGTTACAACATGAAGATATGGGTCTGAATTTTCTTAATTGAAAATGTATATAAAAAATAAGTGCGCTCATCAGTTAGAATAATATTTGAAGTCTAAATTGAAAATGAAAAATAGTTTTTTATTCATGTTGAGAAATCATTTAACAATTTATACATTTTGAACTTGTAAATAAAGCAAATCTTATCAAAGTCCATAAACTTAAATGTCTAAGATAACAAAAAACTGGATCCGCGTCAGATTTTACTAATAATTTAAAATATCTCTCAGGTATTCTTTGAACACCCAATTATCCATATGTTGGGCTTAGGTGTGTCTTGATATCTCTATAATATCCAAATAACTGTATCCTCCAGATATCCATAAATAATATCTCAGAGATATTCAAATTCATAGACTTCTTGGACTTATTTAGATATCTGTAACAAGTCTGTAACATATCCATATGTCCACTGGATATTTTGATACGTAGCAGACATGTTTGGATATCCCTGGGATATTGGTGGCTGTATGGATATTATTAACTTTTGTAATGATATAATTTTGTGCATATTTTATTAATTATAATCAATTAAGATAATGTTTGTTACTATTTCACTATATTTAAACATCTACTGCCTTGTCCAATAGATATCTCAATCAACTCTTAATTCAGATTAATTACCTCTGTTAGTCCCCCTTCAGAAATTATCTTTCTGTTTTCAAAGTGATAGTGAAGTAGACCATGGATTTTTCAATAAAAGCTTAAAACTGGAGAAAGTAATCCCTATTAATGGTACTATAAAACTTATGCTGTAGACATTTTCAGATCATCCAAAGAATTATCATTGATTGCCACTAAGGTAATTAAACCTCTAATGTAGCTGTATCTTAAATCTTATCATTTTAGTTTTCATGAAATGTATTTTTATCTTTGCATTTAAAAACATTAATTAATTAATTGGCAAACGAAATAGCTCTTGCTCTTTTACTACTTGATAGCAACTTTTGAATTTTTTCAAAATCATTTTCTATTTTAACTACTAAAACAGATAATAAATTAAAAGCACTTTCAGATCATCCAAAGCTTAAGAAGTTAATTTTTTAAATAATCATTTTTAAGCATGCTAAGTTTAATTTGTTTATATTTTTTAATGAGCATACAAGTTTTACCTGTCTTTAACGCTGCAAAGGAAACTTATTAAGTGAAACTTTTATTTTTTTATATCTTGTGAAATTAAAAGTAGCTGTAACTAGCTAGGGTTTTACTGCTACTGTGTTTTTTTTTAATTGCAGGAATGTGTCAGATATCAAAATCCACATAAAGCATTTACTTTTAAAGTTCATGGATATGAAGCAGTTGTTGGACCAGTTAAAGGTGTTTATGGAAAAGAAAGCGGTGTTAACAAAGCAAGAGAGCATTCACTCTTAACATCAGATAGACCCCCATTTGTTACTATCCTTTCTCTTGGTTAGTATTATTTAAATATTTTTTCTCAACATTATATTAAAATTTTTTTTTTTCGTTTCCTCAGTATTATTAGTTATTTTTATTGCAGCAAAAATTAGACTTTTTCAGGACTTAATATTCAGGCTATGCAACGTTAGTGTTCTAGGCACTAATTTTTTTTATCAAAAAAATTAGTAATGTATTTGCTGAAAATTAAATACTTCTAATTATTTGAGTCCATTTTATAAAAAAATCTTTTCATCAATAATTGATTTATTAATGTGTGTGTATCCATGTGTGTATATATATATATAATCAACTTCAAATCTAGTTAATTGTATTAAATATTTTGTGCTTTAAATAATTGGAAAAAAAATAAGGAGCAAAATTAGAGAGAAATTGTAAATGACTTATTTTAAGTGCATAATAAAAAATAAAAGAGTATTCAGTAGTAAAACAGAACATGAAATTAGCTTATTGAAGTGAAATATTCTTTTTAAAATTAAATTAAAGCCTATTTAGTTTCTTCTATGCTTATTTCACTTCATAAGTAAAAAGAAAGATAGGTGGAAATAAATTAAAAATATAAAAAAGAATGTTGGATGTAAACATTGCCGGTCATAAAAAGCATTAATTATTCATTTACAAAAGTAATATTCACTGTTTACAAAATTTAAATAGATGATACCANCGATTTTACGTTGTCCGTTTCGTACGTTATCCCGCTTCTTACGTCATTTTCTGCTGATCCGTGAAAATTGCCTATACCGATAATGTTAAAAAATTCCCGGATTTTGCGCTACCCCTTTTATGAAAATCCCGCTTGATGCGTTTTTCTATTAACAGATAAATTTTAAAAAAAATTCTATTCGAAATGGTTTTACTCATTTTTCCGTGCTAGCATACCAAATGAGATTTTCAGTCGGTTTTGTTTGAATTTGATAGCATTTTTTCTCATTTTTGAAACCTCAGTCATCGTGTTCTTTTCTTGAAAGAAGATGTCGAAACGAAAATGCTTTTCTCTGGCCGAAAAGGCTGAAATCATCGAAAAAGCTAAAGAATTTCATGGCACTAAAGTTGATCTTGCTAAATCTTTGAGAATTGCTTATTCAACTTTGCAAATGATTTTAAAGCAAGAAGCTTCAGTAGAACTAAACGCTGAAAAACTCGGAAAATATGCCAAGAAGCGAAAAACCCTTAAAACATCTCCGTATGATGAGTTAGAAAATATTTTAATGAACTGGTTCAAGGAAGCCAGAGCAGCAAAGTTTCCTATAAAAGGATCCATCCTGAGAGAAAAGGGGCTTGAAATTGCTGAAAGGCTTAAACTCCAAGGCTTCAGTGCATCAAATGGCTGGATCAATCGATTAAAAAAAAGGAACAATTGATGCCTCAAATCTATCTGTTGCGAATCCGATAGTGTGGATATGACAATTGTGTAACAGTGGAAAGAAGAAACTCTGCTAAATTTATTAAAGGGCTATAATCCAAGTGATATATTTAATGTGGACGAAACAGGATTGATTTTCAGCCTATTGCCAAACAAGACATTGACAATTAAAGGTGAAAATTGCCATGGAGGAAAGCTTTCAAAAATGCGCTTTACTGTTTTGTTCTGTGCAAATGCCGATGGAAGCCAAAAGTTAATGCCTCTTGTAATCGGTAGAGCAGAGAAACCACGGTGTTTCAAAAATATCAAAAGTTTTCCTACCGATTACACTTCAAACTAAAAAGCATGGATGACGCAAGCATTATTTAAAAATTTTCTTCGAAAACTGGATAAGAAAATGAATTTTCAAAAGCGCAACATAATTTTATTCCTAGACCAATGCATTGCTCATTTAAACCTTAAACTGAAAAACGTGCAAATAGAGTTTTTTCCAGCTAACTGTACGAGCAAACTTCAACTACTGGATTTAGGAATTATGCGATCATTTAAAGAGAGTTGCCGGAAGCAACTGGTTATAATGTTTCTTGATTCTGGTGACTTTCAGGATGCTTCTAAGGCAAAAATTAATGTTTTTGAGGCTCTTAATTTGATATCTTCAGGTTGAGACTGTGTCGACCGAAAGTGCATTATCAATGGATTCAATAAAGCAGGATTTTCAATAATGGAGGAGGAGAGCACAGCTCTCTCCTCCTCTCCTTTGTTTTGGAAGAAGAAGAAGGTAGCGTGTCTGAAGTTGAGGACCTTCCGGAAATCGATGATGCATACATCGACTGTGACACAGATATCATTACTTCAGAAATCCCTTTCATAAGTGATTTAATGCCTGATTCCGACGATAGTGCTGATAACGATGAAGATGAAATAACAGAAGACGTGCCAACAGCTGATCAAGCGATACAAAGCATAAAAACTCTAAAACAATTTTTACTTGCAAATTTGCAAAAAATTGTTAGTATTGAACGAGCTGTATACTAAATTGTAGCTATAAACGAAAAGCAAGTAAAGATTACTCATTTTTTCCATTAATTTAACTGGTAGGTGTCAATTTTTAAAATTATGCATAGATTTTTCTTAACGTTATTCCGCTTCGAGCGTTTTTTATCGCTAGTTCGACAGAAAACGTAAAATCGGGGGTTTCACTGTGTGTGTATATATATATATATATGTATATATATATATATATGTATATATATACACACACACACAGGGGATGGATAAAATATTGGAAACACTTCTATACTGACGCATTTTTCACGAAATACTTGAAGAATCAGTCTCTTTAATCATTCTCATAAAGAATTCTGAAACTATGATTTTTTTTATCTTCTTACATGAAAGAGCTTTGAAAAACATTCTCAAGTTCTTTAAACAGAAATTTAAATAGTTTTATGCCAACGTTTTTTAATCTTGTGTTAATTTTGTTACTTTTTAGTACGAGATTCTGCTGCAAGACTTCCAAATGGGGAAGGAACTCGTGCTGATATATGTGAATTATTGAAAGATTCTCAGTATCTTGCTGCAGCCAGTGACCAACAGGTATTCTTCTTTTGGCTAGAGTATTTTCGTATCCTTTATTCACTGTCATTAGGTCAATGTAAATTAAATGTATGGAAAATTGCCATCACACTTAGATGGCCGTAACTAAAAAATGTGTTCTAGAAATAATCTCCCTTTGCATTAATATTTTTGCCATTTGCCTGGAAAATATGTTTTTGAAAATATATATACGTGGTAAAAAATATGTTGGTGGCTAGGATATGAAGGAATTTTCAACTGCCCATTGAATTTCAGTTTGAGTAGCAAAAAGTGATCTACCCTAAGCAACAATCATAGCGACTTAGAAACATCTTAACTTTGCTGTGCTCTGTAAGACCGTAGTTTGTAAGCCAAATAAATGTTTTGTATGTTTGAAGAAAAAGTTCTGACTTTCTTTGCTCTTCTTGACTAAAAAGTAATTTTTTATTTCTAACTTTTTGGTTCTTTCACATTCAATACTATTTAGAGTCAGATTAGTGTACATAGAAACCAAATTTTTTTTAGCTTCTCTACTTCATAGTTGTAGGAAATTATTTAGAAAACTTTCAACTATTTGGTTTGATAGTTTATATATATATATATATATATTCCCTAAAATCATATTACAATTTAAATCTTTTTACAACTGTGACATTATTTCAAAACATATTTTTTTCTGGCTTTTTTTTCTCATACTGGGAATAATAAATCGTCTTATAATATTCTTGTTAAAAAAATTTTTTTTGTACAATTTTCTAACTGCGATTTTATTTTAAAACACATAAATATTAACCAAATGAAAATTGAAATAAGAATACTACAATTGAGAAAAAAAATTATTAATATTTATAATATATTAATATTTATGATACATTAATATTTATATATTTATCATTTGAAATTTTTTATTATAATTCTCTAAAATCATATTACATTACAATTTAAATATTTTTGCAACTGTGACATTATTTCAAGACATATTTTTTTCTGGCTTTTTTTTCCTCATACTTGGGTATAATAAATCGTCTTATAATATTCTTGTTAAAAAAAAAAATTTGGTACAAAATTTTCTGAGATTTTATTTTAAAACACACAAATATTTACCAAATGAAAATTGAAATAAGAACACTACAATTGAGAAAAAAAAATTATTAATTTTTATAATATATTCTTTAAAATCATATTACATTACAATTTAAATCTTTTTGCAACTGTGACATTATTTCAAAAAAATTTTTTCTCATACTGAAAATAATAAGTAGTCACATAATATTCTAGTTAAAAAAAATTTATACAAAGTATGTTAACTAAGATTTTATTTTACAACAAATAAATTTTAACCTAATTAAAATTGAAATAAGAATATTACTATTGAGTAAAAAAATTTATGTGATGATATATAATTTTTCCCTAAAAGAGTAAAACATACTTTGAAGCTTTTCTTGAATTGCCATTCGTAATAACTCAATGACTCTAGTAAAACTGAAGTAAATCACATATTTTTAGTTTTTTTAGTAGAGGAAGAAATTAATGTTTGTTATTTTCTTCATTGAATCAATTTTGCAGATTCATACTGTTGTAAGTGGAGCACTAGATCGTTTGCATTATGAGAAAGATCCATGCGTGAAATATGATGTTAATCGTAAATTGTGGATATATTTACATCGACACAGAACAGAAGAGGAGTTTGGTAAGTGTCAATTTTTATTTACTCTTAGTCGAAACATCTAATTAATGATATCAATTTTAAGACTTTATATTGAATGAATTTCAACCACATTAAAATGTCTATATTAAAATTGCCTTTTTTTGTTTTAACTCTGAAAGTTTAACTATTTTTATTTGGTTTATATGGAAAAAATATTTATCCTTCTACAGAGATGCCAACTTGCTCCGGACAGCATATATATGTGTTAAAGTGGAAGTTTATAAATTGTGATTCTTGGTTTAATAAATTCAATTCAGTAGATTTTTATCCACCACTGTTTCTTAGTAATTCGTAGGCTTACATAATTCACCACTTTATAGTATTTATGTCATGCTATACCTTTTAAAAAGCAAGAAAAAATAGTCAAATATTTGCAAAATTTACTTTGTAGTTATTTACCATTTTTTAAAATTATTTTGGTGTGTTCGGAGCAGTTGGCATCGCTGCTTTTATACTGTAAATATAGAAAGATTTATAAAGATTTATTTAGATTTAAAAATTTATCCTTCTATACTGTATTCTTAATTATTTTAGGTGCAATATTCATACATTAAGCAAATTTGTAGACATTTTATTAATTTATTTAAACTAACAAATATTTATTTCTCATACTTATTCTGTAATTTTTTTGATCAGTCATTTCCATTGCTAAAAATAATTGCAACTTAATGAATCACCATATAAAAATCAGTAAGACACCATATAAAAACTATAAGAGATATAGATATCTTGATGACATCAAATCTAGCTTAGTGTCTCTGTCGATTTATTTCTACTGTGTTCAATGTTTGTGGTAAAAGTGAGAATATCCAAATTCAACAAATAAATAAGCTCATGTAACTAGTAATCATGAACAAAAATAAAGATTTCTAAAAAGGATGAGCTTGCAGATAGTAATATTAAAACAATCTTGTAACTTCAGTTGAATTAAAAAAGATATTATTAGGATTGTATTTTATGGTTTATTCTTAGCATCTATTTAAAATCTCTTCAAATGAAATACATTATTATGTATTCATAGATATTTTGTAGAAAAATAAGATAACAAGAAAATCGAAGATGTCAGATAATGGAGGGGGGATTTCAAGTATACATATCTTTTAGAATTTTCCTCTTCAGAGAAAAGCACCTGTAATCATGTGGAGATACCCCTCACCCCACAAATTCCAATTAAAAAAGAGAAGTTTTTCTATGGAAAGGTCCCACTCCCGTACACGCTGCATAAACTTTGATCAATTGCAAAGTAAACGCATCTGTAAATGACAAATTACATATAAAAAGATTAAACAGTTAAAAATCATTGAAATAATTATTAAATATGCGATAAATAAATATATGCAATCATATTTTAAATCAGAAATTATGCATCTCAATTTTCATAATAGTTTTTCGATCTTGCAAATAACTGTACCATGTATAATTATACACAATTCCAATTCGAAATGCTAGCAAACGCATTACTTCAATAAATATTAATTTAAAATATCCCATTTTTATGTAAATCAAGTGATTAAACTGCTAAAAATAATTGAGGTAAGTTATTAAAATACAATAAATTAATTAAAAAAACCTTACTTACCTCCAAACTGTACCATATGGAAAAGTCACAGTTACATCTCTTAATTGTAATTTGATTTGAAAAACCTAATTATCATTAAATTAAATGATAAACAGCTAAAAATGCTTTTAATAAATTCAAAAAAATGTCTATAAATAAACTAAATCTTGTTTTACGCAAAATTGTTCTATGCAGAACAATTTCTAATGCATCCCATTTCTTATTACTAATTTTAAATTTCTAAAATTAGGACCCTCAGAATAATTTTAGAAAAATAGAACCCTCAAAATAATTTTTAAAAAAATAGTAGTAAAAAATGAACAAATGGTCTTGTTTTGAGCAAAATTGAAGCCTAAAATATTGTATCTTTTATAATGAATTTATAATATCCCAATATACCCACAGAAATACAGTTTTTAGCACCCACCAAATAACCTCCATCTTTCTCTATTACAGAACCGAAAATAAGATTTCTCCTAAGTTTAGGGGAATACATGACATTGTGAAAAGTTACTCTGCGCATTTTACCATTTAACTTATTACTTTCTAATGCCTAAAATTGGACTTTCAATATCACCAATGACAAGGCATCAGAGCATTTTCTATAATTTCATATTCAAAGAATAAAACCAAATTATTACAAAAATATGTTGAAGCAGCAGTGTCAAAAAGCCATGTTTCTTTTTCAATTTCATCACACATATTACCTACACTGGCTTCAACAGTATAAAGACTGTTATCAAAAACATTTGCAGTCACATTACAGTAAGAATTATCGGTTAAATTTTGTTTAAATTTATTCTTTACTTTCTTTGGTTCACATTTTAATTTTTGCTTCCTATCTGAAATTAAGTGACCATATTTGTTACAATGATAGCAAGGTTATGTTACAAGATAGCTTAGATTTATCATAACTAGTTTTGGATTTAGTCTTGATTTTAGTAGATTCTAAATTTATTATTAGCAGAACCAGATTTAGACTTGGTTAAACTTAACTTTTCGTTAAAATTTAAATCAACATTATGAGCAATATCACTGACATTATTTAAATCAAAATTTAGTTGCTTAAGTCCACTTTCCTCTAAAAGTAATTCACCTAAAATGTTCTTAATTTTAAATTTAGTGTCATCCCATTTTTAAATAATTGGAACTATACCTTGAAAGTCTTTGGGTAAGTATCTTATAAGTTGAAATCCTTGATATAGGTCGTCAACGGGATGTCCAGCGTCTTTCAGTTGCGAAACTAGGTTCATTAGTCTAGTAAAAAACAGACCTATTAATTCACCTGGGGTGTATTTTAGTTCGAAAAATTGGTCTAGTAGTTGAATAACTCTTGTTCTTGTAGTTGGGTCAAAATGTTGCTTTAATATTTCCCAAGCTACAGCGCCATCAGTTGCCGAGATCAAACTTCGGTACTCTGGTTCAACACTAAGAAATATCAACGTGTATGCTTTATCCTGCTTCCAGAGGTGTTGACCTCGGTTTGCATCTGTAGATAGGGCAGGCTCAGTTTTGGATATAAAACTCCAAACTTCTCGGTCCATGAGGATTACTTTCATGTTTTCTTTCCATGTACATTTGACAAATTCAGATACTCTATGTGTAGGCTCGAACATTCTATGAGAAAAGAACTGTAACTCAAAGATCCTAAAAACAAAATGTGTATTGTTTCTCGTTCCCTACTAAAATCAAATCTTAGGTTTAGCCATCAAATTCGCATTTGTCGACTCAGATTCCTAATTAAAATTCTTTCAAAAAATGCATTTTATTATTTTTGCCAACTGGAGAAAAATTCCTTAGACGTTATATATTTTTAAAAATTAGACTGAAGTTGATGATGGAAAATATTAGCTTAATCCAGGATAATGCAAATTTGATATACAGGACTATGGAAAAATAAATCTTGGTTATGCGTAGGATGATACCCATAACCTTGACAGCCTAGATAGTCGCAAGAATATCAGTGCAGCTGAACGTTTACTTTCATTGAAACAAAGAAAAACAAAGTTACCACGGTAAACAATTTACTTTAAAAGCATATCAAACTTGAAAAGACAAGCATATCACACTCTCACAAACAGGGTTGCAAAAGAACAATGAAAGGGACAAGGATGCTAAGTAATCGGCTTCATCAAAAGTGTAAATACTCTTGTACAGGAGATAAAAACGACATCATGATCCACGTGTGATCAACCAACAACAAATGATAAAAGACCAGCTGAGCACTCGTAGACCATGACGTTATCGACATAAGTTAAATGCATGAGAACACTACCTCATCATTAACAGGACTGATAAAGGGTCTAAACTTTATTAGAATGACTAGCATGTTTCTTTTTTATTTTTATTTTCATCACTCTTGCTGTAGAAGAAAGAGAAGGGGGAATTTTACTTCTGTAGATTCTTGTAAGAGACTTATTCCAGAGGTGATCACGGGAGGGGCATTCTTCAACAGCTTTTATTTAGGGGGAAGATCGTATGTCAGATGGGTTGTACATCCTTGCAACTGCATTGATCATTCTTTAGATTATTATTAATCGTAAAATATAAAAAATAGGTCATAGCAAAAGATTAAAAAGAAAAGGTGATACTGAAATTTTGTAAAATAAATGTAACAAAATAGAATTTTCAAGCTGAAGTAAGAAAAAAAAATCTGATAAGCCGCTCATTTAATATGCTGCATACCAAAATTTAAAGTTTTAATTCTTAATCTATACCTGAATCTGTCAAGTTTTTTTTTTCAGTACATACTGATGATATTTTTTGATATAAAATTATTCAAATCTTTTTCAAAACTTTTAGGAAAAGCATAAAGTTACTATTTTCAAAACTCCATAATTTTAATTAAAATTTTAGTTCATGTAATATAATCTTGTTTCAGTGTCTGTCAATGTCAAACTAAATCTGAATAAAGTTTGTTCAAATCAAATCAAAATCTTTGGCCTATGGAAAGTTTGACTATGTTCGTTAATAGTTTGTTGTTAGTAGTAATTTCTTGATTTCTATGTTGCTTGAGCCATTTAAGTTCTGATTCCTCTTTGGGAAAGCCACACCTTTTCCTTATTGACCAGAATTGATGCTTTTCTCATACTGACTCAATTGTGCATAGATTGTTTAAGTAATGGCAAGAAATTATTGCCTACTTAGTCTGGGGTTTTTTTCAGCTAAAAGAGATTGAATTATCTTCTTAATAAATTGAGTTAAAGAGATTAAAAATCAATCAAATTCTAAAATAGTCAAGTTATAGTAATACTCCAGCTATAGTGCTTCAAGTTTAGTAAATTAACTGTATAATTAGGGGGAAAACCATAAAATGAACTATTACTTTTAAAACACAAAAGAAACAAATTTTATATTTTGGCCGGTCAAACTTAATTTCGGTCTAATTTTTTGAAGTATTTTTAAAAATATCTAGGTATAAACATATATAATAAAAATATATAAATTTTAATGTACTTTGATCATTTCTAAAAGACTTATGTTCACAATTTTTTTAAAGTCTTAGTAATTTAAATAAGATTTTGTTTTTAGATCTTTTTTACAACTCTGTTTAAAAGCACATCAATAGATATGTTATACTAGCAATAAAAACATAAAGTAATAATTTTATGGTTGGTTTTCTACAGATGATAGATACTAAATCCACAGCTGAAAATGAATTTGTAGTTAATACAAATTGTTGTTAGTTGAGTTTTTATGATTTTCATAACTTTCTATTGTTGGCATCCACCTAATTATATATTATTTCTTTATCTAATTTTTTTTTTAGCTGTTCTTGTAAATTATCAATATGTTAGGGAGTGTCAGAGAATTGTGTCAGAAAATAAAGTTATCAGATATAATAGACTAATTATTATCATATAATAGAAATCTTCTTTATTTTGAAATGCTTCTAGGTGCTCTTTTATAAATGTTGTGATTTAAATCATTATTTTGTAGAGCGTATACACCAAGCTCAAGCCGCAGCTGCAAAGGCAAGAAAGGCTGTACAAAAGAATAAATTACCAAAAATTGTAAGTAATATTAAACATACCTAATTTTTTTCCATTTAGATGACTTTTTCCTTCATAAACAAGTACAATCATCAGGGAGATGTGAGCAGAAAGATTGATATTAAATATGCTTTAACTTTACAAATAAGTTCTTGATTGTTACTCTACTCTGATATATTATTCAAATCATGTGATATGCAAGATCATCACACCATCAGAGAATGAGAGAGATGTATTTTCCAAGGCCCTTAAAAAGAACTAAACATAATTACCTGGAAATATTTATTTAAAAATATACACCAATATTTCAGTTTTTTTCTCACTGTGAGAACCACTTGAATTTTAATTCTACCTTTGTTACATAAGCAGCTAGTCCTGGCTTAAAAAACAGTTTTCCCTGTGTTTTGTGTAATGCCATTGCCAGTTTTTCACATCCTATGGAGTTTTCAGTTGTTTTGATAATATGTTTTGAAAGCCTAATTTTTAGCTCTTACTGTTGTAAAAAACGGATAGCATGTAAAAATTAAAGTTAACCTTATTTTATGATGTGTCGTTACTAGCCAAGCAGTAAACTGACACATTGCACTAAATACATTTGCTTTTATGTGTGTATATCTAAGCACGTATATTGCAAGTAGCACACAATATCGCCGATTACGACATCAAGCAACATTTCCAAACTATCAATCTATGTAAAAACATCAGATTTTTACTCATAGATTCTGTTTTATAAAAACATTGCAAAAATGTTGAAAAGTTTTGTAACATCATTCTTAGTGTCATTATGTAATGTTTCCCAGCATTTACAAACGCTATAGGATGTCAATCAACATCATCAACAAGATATTCATAAAACCCATGCTATGGAATATTGTCATCAACATAATTGCTTAAATTGTAAAATTAATAAGCATTTGAAAAGAGGCAGGCCTATTTGTACTCCAGAAAAGAGAAGAAAAAAAACTAAGAAATGAACAATTTCTAGCTTGTTTTTGAATGAAATAAAATATACTTTCTTAACAGTTGTAGCATACATTTACATGTGAAATCTCGTACAGCCAATATTTTTTAAAAAGTATTGATAAAGCTTTTCCTATTAATTATAGACTTTCCACCACTAATTTGCTTTCTTCTGGATGAGAAACAGTCCTGTATATATGTTATAACTATTAATTAGTTTTGGTAGTTCAGGATATTTTTCTTCTTCTTATTCCTGAAATAAGGCAGCAATGCTATAAATTTTTCTCTCTCTTTTTTGGAATACAAGCAGCCGTAAAAATAGTTATTTCAGTCAGATTTTCTAAAAGAACATTGTTCTATTACCATACTTTATCTCTCTCTCTCTCTGAAGAAGTTTAAAATATTAAAAAAATTCAAGAGGAAAAACAATTTTTGTATCTAAATTATCATAATTTTTTTCTCCAACTTTTTCTGTTACAAGATCATAGGATTTAAAGTTTTGTTAATGGTTTTAAATTTATTTTGGATAATTGGTTTTAAAATGTTAAACTTGCATTCAACTAAGTAATCCTAGTATTTGCAAAATTCAAAATTTTCATAAAGGATTTATTAATTTTAACTTAAAATTAGTGAACAAACTTATTTTGCTAAAATTGTAACTATTCTATTTTTTTTTCGTTTGTAAATTTCTGATGAATTTATTCTGGTGTAAGAAAAGTGCCAATTTAAAAAATAAAACATTTATCATTTCAAAGTGTTACATTTGTAATATTCCTATCGAGATTATTTACGATCTCAAATTCTTTTAGTTTTATATAAAATATAATACAATACGATGTAGTTATATATGAAAATTCCTTAAGCTTCAACTAGACTTTACAGAATTTTTCCAAAAATCTGAAGAAAAAAAACATTAAATGCCTTTATTAAAAATATTAACTTTACATTGTTAATATCTGTGATTAAATAGTTTCAATGAGAATCCAGTTAATCTTCCAATTATCCTAAACAACTTAAAACAAATCTGATAAATATTTTAATTAGAATTCTAAGTTTATTCCATATACCATTGGAAATTTTTTCATGATTAAATTAAAATTTTATTTGTGTTAGTCTTTGAAAATTTGAATGACTAAAAGGTTTTACTCCCTGCTTACTAATGCCAAGGGTTGCTTCACACTCAAATTTGTTTCTTAATGATTAGCAGAATGCAACACCAAAATTAACCCTTTGACGGTTAGGGAAATGAGCAGTTTTCGTTTACTTAATTCGCGCAGTATTACGAGCAAACAGTAGTTGAAAGTTGCAGCTGTTTCCCCCCCCCCCCTTCTTCCGAAAATGTCACCCTTCTCTAGCGATGCCGTAGATAGCTTGCCTCACGCGTTTTAAAAATTTCTTAAAGTATTTGTAGTACATAAACAACACTTTTTGCATACTTTAAAATAATTAATAAATGATAATTATTAATAGTAAATTATAAATGATTATAATCAATTATATAAATAATAGTTAAATATAAATATAAGACAAATATTAAATTGAAAGGACCAAATAAATACAACTAATGTAAAACTTTATGAAGCATTTAAATACAGTAATTACCTAAATACTGTGAACAAAGTCTTCATCAGGCTCAAAACTTGATAAGCTTTCTGTATCATAATTATCGAACTTTCGCTTTTCAGCCATTTTACTTTGCAAACACCCTAAAAAAATGCGCCAAAATACGCATGAGAAGAACAAGGGGGGGAAAACAAATTCCCTCTTCATTATGTAAACAAATTCATGGAACCCGTACTGCCATCTGTAGGCAGTAAAACTAACTACGTTTCGCGAGTAGGATTCGTTTCTAATGCAGAATAATAATGGGGAACGAGCTCAGTTCATCAGCGAGCATTGGGGAAAAATTTCACTACGCGAGTAGAGCTCGTTACTAACCATTACTGTCGAAATCTTGCTCCCGAGCGGAACTCGTTTGTGCGCATTATGAAGCACGATTCGATTGCGAGCCAAACTCGTTCATAACCATCAAAGGGTTAAATATTAATCAATTGAAAATATTCCGAAAATATTTATCTCATTAACAAGAGTGTTTTGTGTCCTACTTACTAGTGCTAATCAGTATATCAGATCTTTATGATAAACTGATATGTAATATCATAGAATTACTTTATAATATAATAAAGAAACATCGCTTTCAGTTTTAAAAATGTTACTTTGATTAAGCCTCTCAAGCACTGATTCTCTGGTAAAAATTGTACTGAGATTTCCTTGTTAAACACTACTTTTATATTGAAAAACTTAGAAAAAACAGTTTTTTATGCAGGAAAGACAATAGCTGAAAGTATAGAAAAAGCCGTGATTAACATTCAGAGAGTTAATAGTTTTTTACTCAAAGAGTTGACGTATACCGCAGGGCTCGAAAAACCACCCGTCCTCGGCGGCCAAAAATTCCCTGCGGACAACGAATTTCTCGTATCCGACGTCCACGCGGACGGCCATTTTCCCATTAATGTTCGCGATACATTTTCACTTTTTGTTATCTTTGTTGGGAAAATGTAAACAAATAGAGATGTAAACAGTATTTTCCTCTTGGCTGTGTCACTTCCTGTGGGAAGTTGTGTCACTTCCTGTGGGAAGTTAGGTCACTTCCTGTTATCTCAGCTAGAAGGAAGTGGGTGTTTCTGTTTTTAGTCAGTTATATCTTTGCTTTGGATAGAATATGTTTCCTCTCTTATGTTATGTTTAGAGAGAGCTATGTGATGTTAAAGAGTTATGTTTAGTTTAATTGAATGTAGTTTTTCATACTTTATATTTAGAGATTTATATTCAATAAATATAGTTGTACAGTTTTCCATGAAGTGAGTTCTTGAGTAGTAATAGATGTCTTCAATATCTTATACTTAGTAAGCTGGCCCCTATTTGTCAACATTGGTTATGGGCCCAGACATTTTAGAAGGGGGCCGTGAACAATTTGTATTGATAATTTAAAATATTTTTTGAAGAACTTTTATAGAGAATGGCTTTGCTACCAGAAGGCTTTAACTTATTAAGTTATGATAATTGGGACAGGTGGAAAACAGACATTAAAATTTTGTTATTAGATAAAGGCTGTTGGAAATTTATTGATGGAAAAGAAGAAGAGTTGGAAGTTTCAGCTACAAGAAGAGAAAAACAGGAATTTGAATTAAGAAGAGATAGATCATTTTCTACACTGTATTATGCAATTCAGCCAGAATTCAGACCGCTTATTCAAGATTGTTTCGATGGTAAAAAAGGCTTGGGAGAAATTGGTTCAGTATTTTGAGCCAAAAACAAGAGCCAGACTCATTCAGATACTTGATGAGTTTTTTAGCATAAAGTATCAAGCTAATGAAAGTATAGGCCTTTTTATTGCTAGACTTAAAACAGCAGTGAAAAAGCTTAGTGAAGCAGGTCATGAATTAAATCAGTTGTTTCAAGACTTCCAAGCAATAAGGCATCTACCACCTAAGTTCTCCGGTATAGTTCAGTTAATTTATCGTTGGAAAGATGAAGATTTTACGATTGATAAAATTGCCGAGGAACTGATAAGAGAAGAAAGCAGACTTACACAAGTGAAAGCTGATATTCGTCCAGAGGTTAGTGCGTTTAACATTTCTTCTATAAGTAAAGATGAAGAAAGATATGGAGGCAGAAAAAAATCTCAAAGTAAATTTGTAGAAAGTAATAGAAAAGTCATTGGTTCATGTCATCACTGCCACAAGTATGGACATTTAGTTGCAAATTGTAGAGATAGATATGCCAGAAATGTCAAGTCAAAGTGGGGAAAACAGAAAAGGAATTTCAATGATCAGTCAGCTGCTTTAGTTGAGACTTATTCAACACACTCTGTGGAAGTTGGTGAAACCATGATTAAAAATGATGATAGAATATGGGTTTTGGATTCAGCTGCAACTACACATTTCTGTAAAAACAAAATGCTAATGTCAAGTTATGAAGAAACAAATAATATTAGCATGGCTTTGGCTGTTGGAGATACTTCTAGTAAGGTACTAAGAAAAGAAACTGTTGAATTTTCA